TTGTCTTACTGTGCGATAATGCCCAAGTCATGCAATCCGCACTTAATCAGTTGGCAATCAGTGTCTGTAGGTACGGCATGTGCATCGCACCTTCGAAGTGCAAAGTACTTCTACAAGACCAGCAGGATTCCAATCCTGTACTCACCCTGGATGGTGAGCAGATAGAAGTAGTCGAGAAGTTCGTGTATCTGGATAGCTGCATAAGTGCTGGTGGTGGCGTGAGTGATGAGATCAATGCACGTATGGTGAAAGCCAGAGCGGCTTATGCCAATTTGGGCCATCTCTGGAGCCTTCGTGATGTTAGTCTGGTTGTAAAAGTTCGAATCTACAACGCGTTGGTGAGAGCAGTTTTGCTCTATGCTTGTGAAACCTGGCCTCTCCGAGTTGAGGACGTTAGACGACTCTCTGTGTTTGATCGCTGTCTCCGAAGGATTGCTGACATCCAGCGGCAACACCATGTTAGTAATGCAGAGGTTCGGCATCGTGTGTCACCATCTGGAAACATCGACTTCAGTGACTTGGAAATATTCTACGAATGTTGTCCCAGAGAATTACACGTCGTGCATTATCTGCCGACGCTGGGACTGGTTGGAAAAAGTAGAGATGTGGTCAGTGTAAGACATGGTGCCATGGTATGAAAGAAAGCTGCAAAGGGCTGGCCTCTGTTGGTCCTTCACAACTCGCTGGCTGGGGTCCTAGAGATGGTGCAACACAGTTGCTAGAGACGTTGTCAGTTATGGCTCAGAATAGAAGCCAGTGGATATCCTGCTGTAACTTTTTTTTACTTTCTTCATAAAAAATGGTTGTATCTTCCTTAACTGAAAGAATTTTTTTGGTTGTACCTTTCCGTATCACCCATTATTATTACACTTCCTTACACTAATCTGTTCGTTGTTGTTCCTTTTTTTAGCTCCTTACCTTCTTCTTTTCTCTTTGAATTCTCATTGTTTTGTGTGGCACATATATATTTGGTGCCCTCTTGTACCAATATTTGTGTTCAAAAAAATAAATACCTAGACTTACTAAGAGGAATCTTAAGATGAAATAGTAATATGAAAAAAACGCCTGCAGTGAGATAGATATTCTTCAAAAGGATTGAATTTAAGAAAGATACTGAAAAAGGGATTCTAAAAAGTAGATTTTCGAGATTCTTGTGAGGAACACCCTACCCGCTTGAACTTTGTGTTATATTCTGGAGTCAGTCTTTGATTTGATATTTTATAGAGAGGTACTGCAAATCATTAGGCCTAATCAGTCTTATAAAGGAGGTTAATTCAGCTACACAAAGTGAAGCTTTTTGAGGCGGGTCTCCAAAAAATGACTGCCCAAGTGTTGAATTATGAGCCAAGACAATTAATAAATTAATCCTGAAATACTTCGCCGATTCTGTTCACGTTTCTTCTCCAAAATTGTTCTTTGGAGTCATTTATAAAGTCAAAAGATGTCGTTGAAAAAGAAGATGTCCTAGAAAGTTATGTACGCCAGAGGACTTAGTAACTCATTTATTCCAGCCTAGTCTGTATACAAAAGCAGCATGTCTTATATCTCATCTCACAGTGATTATAACACTACTCCTACCTTCAATAATCTATTACACGTTCTTTTGTTTTTATATAATCAACAACGACTTATTGTCACAAAAACTGAGTACGCTATTCTCAATATTCACCAAGTGAGCTCTCGTTTCTCTTTTATAAATGTCTTCAACTCAGCAGCTTTAGATATTTCTAAATAATTTAACGTAATTTCACTACATATTTAAAGTTTTTCATATACTTCTCGTTGGCAACTATTTTCCATATTTAATTTCTTTAAGCCACGATTATGCAATTTTCAGATACCGGAAAACACATTTAACCATCTTTTAGATGATTCAATATTCGTCTGTTTTATTATAGATTTATACGTACTGATTAACTATAAGTGCGGTGCTTGGGCTTTATCAAATAACTTCATTTGAAAAGACAGGAATTTTTCCTCGCAGAATCGTCTTTTTTAATGGAACGATTGGTTTATTTCGTTATAAGTGATAAACCTTAGACCAAAGAGCTGGAAGTGTGTAAGAAGGAAGCCTCTGTTACTGAAGGTATTGATTATTGATCAAGTGTGCTGTGTGAAAAAACGTCTCCCAGGTTGTTTCAGTTATATACATATATATGAACCAAAGTGCTTATATTTGTATGAGTCTTTAATACTCCACTGAAATTTTGTGGATGAAATCTGTAGGGAATTTTATTTACATAGAGTATAAGGTCTGATCTATTGGAAGTACGGCGAAACCTAGTAAACCAGTTAACAATCTTTTTGTTGAGGAAGCTGTATTCGAACACAGTTTTGACAAAGACTAAAAAGCATGCATTTTGACTTATTACACACCATAAGACTTAGTAAAAGATTGTGGAATAAACTGATTTGTAGGTAGTAAGCAACGCAGTGAACAGTAGAACTGAATAAAAACTACACTGCATTATACAGCGCCGTATTTGTGATTGGTAATTCAAAAGCCTATTTCTGCGTTGGTACTGATGAATAGAATCTTTATGTCATTGTGAAACGAGTATTTAAAAATTTAGGAGCTTTGGAACTATCCTACAGATTATTAATAAATATATTTCCGTGGTATCCAAATGAACAGCTAGTTGCATTTCTGACTCACTGGGATACCACGAAAATATATTTATTATTAAGTTTCTGACCAATTCCTATTCTACTTGAAACGGAGTCCTACTTCGGCATTGTCACACACAAACTCACATCCTACAGATTATTATTTATATTCTTCTTGTATAATAAGGTAACTGCATTGGTGTATCCCCATATTCTACTTATTATAAGCTTCGAATGGACCTATTAGATACTTTCACACATTTTACTACTCCTTATTCATTGCTAAGTAACTACTTACTGTCTGCTTTACCCCTTGCTAATTATAACATGATTGTGTACAAAGTGTGATTTCTTGCTTGGTGTGCTAAGCGGTCTAAAAATTCGTGTGTATAATCTAATGAATATATGAGATGGCTGCTATGCTGTGTGATTAAATATAATAAAAGCTCAACTCTAGACTCAAGTATAGGAATAGATTAAAATTTGCAGATAGGCCACCAGGTGTAGTGTGGATGTTGGGATATTCAGGAAAATATCCCAAAAATTATCCTGTTAAGCCTAGTGCTATCCTTGGACATGAAATGGTATCATCTTATTGGTCAGTATTTATTTAACGTGTCATTTTCCTACTGGCCATTATTGTACAATGTTATCTTCTATTTTCTGGTACGTTGTGGACTGCTTGGATGGTATATAAACAAGTATGTTTGAAATATAATGATTCATATATCCGAGGCTGAAACTTGTGTTCTGGACTCAACTGGCTGGGTTAAGCAGGGAAGCGAGACCAATCAGAACCCTAGGTCGTTCTACGTGTTTGTGCGTCTTTGGTCCGATCAATAATTCGCTATCCCTTAATCCGCAGCAAAATATTTTTCACGTTATAACAGTGGATTAGGCTTGCTCAACGTTTTCTGTCTTCGTCAGAATGCATCATCGTTGACAGTTAAGGACGCTACGCTACTGTTGGAATAGCAGAGGAGGGTTAGGAGGATCACAACCGGAATTCTGAGTGGCGAATGCAGCATGTTATATCAACTTACATCTGAAGACACAACACGTTTTCTCGTGGCATGGCTGATATATTTAGGAATATAATAATTACCACATCCAACATCTAACCATGGATATGAGTGCTCCACATCAATCGTATTTTCACCATTGAAAAACAGCACGAACCAGGAACTAAAAATTCATTGTACTGGACATTTATTGACTGCATGATCGACATGACCATTCAGTGCTTAATCGGAGCACGCAACAGAAGAAACTGACTAAGTTTCACAGCTCGCCGTGAATTTATTGACTAAATACTATACTTTATAAATGAAAAGAACATATCTTTGGTCTACATTTCTATGGATTGATCCACTAATTGGTCGGAGAAGCGATGATAAGTACAGGCTACCTGATGTAGATCCGTACGATAACCCCAATCAGGGTAGAGTGACATGGCTCAAAACCTGCCACAATGAATTTCATGAACTCACTAGTTATCATCGCTAATTCCTGGACTTCAGTGTTATTGCTTAATACTTACTCATGAGACCCATCCTCTCTTCTCGAACCGTATAATTTAATTTTCTTATCGACCAGTGGTACTACTATCATTTGTCATTTCTCGTATTAGATTCATCTCATGTGTAATGGTTGCTGGGGCTAAATTATATATATCCTACGTTGGTTATGAATGACTGAGCAAAGGATGAGTGTACTGAAAAGCACTCAGCTTAGTTTTATTCTATGGCTATAAAACATTATCTTTAAAGGCAAGATATAGGTGTGGGCTACTAGTATTTAGTTATGGGTGTCTTTGTTTAGTAGACCTAAGATCACATGTAGAGAAGTACGCGAAAACCCCAAATTCGTTGTGAATCTTTGTCGATTAGGTTGGTTGAGACATGCATTACGAATTTTTAGACAGCGCCTAAACCGAGTTTTTGGACTAGGTGAGCTAGAAAGCTAAGGTCGACCAAGCTAAGGTGCGGAACTAACTAGTGACGTCACTATCGGAGTGGTCCGTGTGGTCGGAGAGGTTTATACCTCTAGCTGGATTCAGCTTGATGATTATAACCGATGCTTAGAGATGGGTGATATGGATCAAAATTCAGATGCATTATTTCCCTCTCTCCAGAACGTACGCATTAACACCATCTTATACTTCTTAATGAGTTAATCCATTGGTGCTTCTCGAACCATTTCTCTATATTTGATATTTTCATCGTTCTGGCTAAATACAAGAGATCCACCTTTTTGAATGATTACAAATATATGTGAACTATGCACTTTGAGTGGTTAGGAATACCTAGATAATCTGTAGAATGTCAAACTAGTAATACGTGGAAAAATCTCCTTTGGGACAGTTGAAACACACATTAACATAGAAGCGAATTGTATGGAAAAGTAGTATACTTTCGAGTATCGCTTCTAAAATACAAATGAGTAAAATTAAGCTATGTACCAGTAAATATAAAAATTATTGAGTCATAGATCAACTTCAACAACGCAACAACAGAATGAATCCATTGATAAAGAAAAAAACACTATAAATCACGTTAGTATTATGCAACCTTCATTTGTAATTGAAATGGTATGTTCAAACTGAGCTGTCAAAGCTTTGTCACTAGTGACCACTGTCCATCCATCTTCCAAGATAACAGGAACTGCGAAACTTGTGTTCCGTTTGAATTTTACCCCAGACTTGTTGAGAGGAAGAGAAATACATGGTTCAACGGTGAACGTATGTCCAGGTAGCATACGTGCCAGTGGTTGGGAAGCTAACTCATGGATTGAATGTACTACTTTTGGTGGTCCATGCAAAAATGGGCCGATTCCATGTCCACATACGCCTACCACAACCCGGCACTGAAATGCATCGGCGCATTTCGTGACTGCTTCCGCAATAGATGTATAAAGAGCATTTGGGCCGCAAACACTGATACCAGCATCACGGCACTTTTGAGCAACAGTGCACAAGTAGACAGCAGTTTTTATCCGTGCACCAGCTTCCAGATCACAATAATCAGAGTAACTATCCACACCAACTACAAAGGTGTGACAAGCATCACCATGGACATAACCATTATAAACTGATATATCCACCGACATAATGTCACCCAATTTTAGTATTTGCGATTCTTTTGGGATTCCATGACAAACAACTTCATTTACCGACGTGCAGACCGACCTGTGTTAGAGAAAACACATTACATTAAACAGCTAGTGTAGCCGTATTTTGTTAAATAACCGATAAAATGCAGACTCAGATAAAAATGAAACCTTTACTAGTATCAGGTAGTTTCTCATGTGAAAAACATTTGAATAAGCTATCTCTTGAGACAGAAGCCCTTTTTCGTCAATATATTACTTTTCTACTTTCAATATACAAAATAATTAAAACCCACATCAAGTAATATGAATATTTATGCTGACAAGTTACAAATCTATTGCTCTAGTAAACTATTTATGAAAACTAGCTGTTAGAAAGAGGAGTTCGAAATTTAGCTGAGAATGGAAAGTAAAAATTACAAACAACAAACTTACTTTGGGAAACCTTTATATCCTAACGGCGATGGGTAGACTGACTTACTCAGACACTGATTAAATACGAAATCATCAATATCTTGAGTAGACAAACCCGGTCTGATGAACTTTTCAAGATCATTAAATATCTGGCGGATTATTGAACCTGCTCGTTTACATTCACTGATATTACGTTCACTCTGCACAGCTATTGTAGATAGCGTCAGGTCAACCTTATTAGTGATGTATGGGGGCAGTGGGATATTGGATGGAATGTCACGGCCATAAATATGGAGGAAACGACCGTGGATTTTCAGTAGACCACGAGGGAGAACCATCTACATGGAGTCAAATTTACATTTACGAGACAAATACTTACTAGGGGTTTAATTACACACTAAAAACACATCAATACGACCACAGGTAGTTTTAAACTCCGGAGTGTGATTAACATGCTAAAATACATGGAATTGCGAAAAATGAGGATGGAAGGAACTAAGAGCGGTCCCGAATACTATAATCAAAACATATCGACGACCTTGAGCAAGTTATCAGCTAATCAGATAAGTGTTCAAGACCGAAACAATTTATTATAAAAATGATAATTAGACTGGATTGGACAAGACGTTCGGTCATAATTAACCATCCCATACATGTTCAACATGTGTCATAAAGTGACTTTTTAAATCCCTCACAGGATCTTCAGTAAACTCCGCCTGGAGTCCCTCCGGAGGCTACTGCCGGTTCCAAGCCCGGATAAAGGAGGAGGGTTGAGCATGGGGTTAGTGTCCCCATCCCGTAGAAAAATAACTCGCTAAAAAAACGCTAACCAGAAAAAATTATTCAAACCTTTTAAACTCTGCCCTGGGAGTCAGAAGGTCTTCTTTTAGAAGAACTATGACGCCTCATAATGAAAGCCGAATTCCTTCGGAAGTTATGAGGCCAATACCCCTCCTGACGACCAGAGCAACCATTTATTCAGGTACATGGAATGTTCGTACAATGTGGGACATCGGGAGAGCCTTCCAAATTGCTGCAGAAATGAGAAGATACAACCTAGAGGGGCTTGGGATCAGTGAAACACATTGGACGCAAGTTGGACAACAACGACTAACTTCAGGAGAGCTCCAGATATACTCCGGCCATGAAGAAGAAAACGCCCCACATACACAAGGAGTTGCATTGATGCTGACCAAACAAGCACAAAATGCACTTATAAGATGGGAATCTCATGGACCAAGGATCATCAAAGCCTCCTTCAAAACAAAGGAAGAGGGCATTACAACGAACATCACACAATGCTGTGCGCCTACCAACGACTACAACGAAGATGCTAAAGATCAATTCTACAATAGGCTGCAGTAAATCATCGAGAAGTGCCCAACAAAGGACCTGACCATTCTGGTGGGAGATTTCAATGCCAAGGTTGGAACGGACAACACTGGATATGAAGACATCATGGAACAACACGGACTGGGAGAAAGGAACGAAAATGATGAGAGATTTGCAAACCTATGTGGCTTCAATAAACTGGTCATAGGCGGCACAATATTCCCACATAAACGCACACACAAAACCACATGGACTTCACCGGACCACACAACACAAAACCAAATCGACCATCAACAAAAAGTTCAGGAGGATGATGGAAGACGTGAGAACCAAGAGAGGAGCTGATATAGCATCAGATCATCACTTGCTGGTCGCCAAGATGAAATTGAAACTCAAGAAGTACTGGACAACGGGGCGGACAATATCACAAAAGTTAAATACGGCTTTTCTTCGGGACACTGACAAACTCAACAAATTCAAGATAGTCCTCAGCAATAAGCTCCAGGCCTTTCATGATCTACTCAATGGAGAAGGAACTACTATGGAGAGCAATTGGAAGGGGATTAAAGAGGCAATCACTTCAACATGTCATGGGGTCCTGGGCCACAAGAAGCACCATCACAAGGAATGGATCACTGTTGATACACTGGATAAGATTCAAAAAAGGAGGAACAAGAAAGCAGCAATCAATACCAGTCGAACAAGAGCAGAAAAAGCCAAGGCACAAGCTGAATACACAGAAGTAAACAAACAAGTGAAGAGGAGCATCAGAACCGACAAACGTAAATATGTGGAAGATTTAGCAACGACGGCGGAAAAGGCTGCAAGAGAAGGAAACATGAGGCAACTGTATGACACGACAAAGAAACTCTCTGGAAATCGCCGCAAACCAGAACGGCCAGTGAAAAGCAAGGAAGGCGAGGTAATCACCAACATTGAAGAGCAACGAAACAGGTGGGTAGAACACTTCAAAAAACTCTTGAATTGACCGGCCCCATTGAATCCACCCAACATCGAAGCAGCACACACGGACCTCCCAATCGATGTTGGCCCATCAAGAATTGAAGAAATCAGCATGGCCATCAGGCAAATCAAGAGTGGCAAAGCAGCAGGACTAGACAACATTCCAGCAGAGGCATTGAAAGCAGACGTAACGGTAACTGCAAGGATACTCCACATCCTCTTCAATAAGATTTGGGATGAGGAACAAGTACCAACAAACTGGAAAGAAGGACTTCTGATCAAAATACCGAAGAAAGGCGATATCAGCAACTGTGATAACTACAGTGGCATCACTCTTCTCTCAATACCGGGAAAATTCTTCAACAGGGTATTGTTAAATAGGATGAAGGACTGAATAGACGCCCAACTTCGTGACCAACAGGCAGGATTCCGTAAGGATAGATGGTGTATAGACCAAATCGCAACTCTACGGATCATTGTGGAACAATCAATTGAATGGAATTCATCACTCTACATCAACTTCATTGACTACGAAAAAGCATTTGATAGCGTGGACAGAACAACAATATGGAAGCTTCTTCGACACTACGGCGTACCTCAGAAGATAGTCAATATCATACAGAATTCATATGATGGATTACACTGCAAAATCGTGCATGGAGGACAGTTGACAGAGTCGTTCGAAATAAAGACCGGTGTCAGGCAAAGTTGCTTACTCTCACCCTTTCTCTTTCTCCTGGTGATCGACTGGATCATGAAGACGTCAACATCTGAAGGGAAACATGGGATACAATGGACATCTAGGATGCAGTTGGACGATCTAGACTTCGCAGATGATCTGACCCTTCTATCCCGAAAGCAGAAGAAAACGATCAGTGTAGCAGCAGCCTCAGCAGCAGTAGGTCTCAATATACACAAAGGGAAAAGCAAGATTCTCCGATACAATACAGAATGCACCAATCCAATCAAAATTGACGGAGACGATTTGGAAGATGTAAAAACCTTTACATATTTGGGCAGCAATATTGATGAACACGGTGGATCTGATGCAGATGTGAAGGTGCGGATCGGCAAATCAAGAGCAACATATTTAGAACTGAGCAACATCTGGAACTCAAAGTAACTGTCAACCAACACAAAGGTCAGGATTTTCAATACAAATGTCAAGACAGTTCTACTGTATGGGGTGGAGACCTGGAGGACTACGAAAGCTATCATCCAGAAAATACAGGTGTTTATTAACAGTTGTCTACGCAATAGTCTTCGGATCTGTTGGCCAGACACTATTAGCAACAACCTACTGTGGGAGAGAACAAACCAGATCCCAGCGGAGGAAGAAATCAGGAAGAAGCGCAGGAAGTGGATAGGAAACACATTGAGGAAAGCACCCAACTGCGTCACAAGATAAGCTCTCACATGGAATCCTCAAAGTCAAAGGAAAAGAGGAAGACCAAAGAACATATTACGCCGGGAAATGGAAATAGACATGAGAAAAATGAACAAGAATTGAATGGAACTAGAAAAGAAGGCTCAGGACAGAGTGGGTTAGAGAATTCTGGTCGGCGGCCTATGTTCCATTAGGAGTAACAGGCGTTAGTTAGTAATATTCAGTAAGTGAAATGTATTTTAAGTCGATGAGAATATAAGCCTTAAGAATGGGAAAGCTAGCTGTTAATAGCCCATGCGTCTTAGCATTAGGAAATTCTAAGTATCGCCTATTCTTCACGCTGATAAGCCTCGAGGTGATCTGGTAGACTAAGAAATATGAAATTAATTTAATTCTTGTAACGTTTAAAATGTAGATTATTTGACAGATTATGATAATTATCTGTGTTTTTGTATTTTTGTGTTGCAACTTCGTGTCTTATCTTCATAATGTCGGATCGCAATTCTTGGCTCATTCAAGTCAAGACGATGGCGTCCTGAAGCTCTCACTCCATGTGATGCTAGTGTCAAAAACATCGAAGCCTGGTTCGACTATGCAGAAGCTGACATTCGCGAGCATGACATAACTGATTCACATGCACGGCTTCTCATTGTAGTGCCGAGACAACCATGGGAGTTAGCCAGATACGTTACATCTGAGTTGCATACTTATTGTGTTTCGGACCCGCCAAAACCTCAAAAAGACTTCCTTAAACGAGGTTACGTAGTTATTTGACAAAATGTTAGCAGACCCTTCCATAATCTAGAGCTAGGACATAATTCAGTAGCAGGGAAGTCGTTTGTGTTGAAGTAAGCGACTGACCAACAAACCCTTGATGAAAGCCTTGATAGTCATCTTATCCCACTTATCCTTCCAAATCAGGTTCAAAACCTCCATGTTTTGTTTTAAAACAACTGACCTATCCGTGAACGGAAATCGGGAGACTGAAAAAAGTACATCTTCACGGCATTTTTCGTTAAGGAAATACACTAACGGTAATTAAACATGTTTAACTTCAAAATGGTTCAAATTGTTGCAGAAGAAATAAGAGAAGCTTTCGCTTAACGGGCTCCTGTGTCTAGTAGCAACGGATCACAAACACCTCCAGGCAGGAACCGAGGTATACCAACCATAAAAGAAGAAAAAGAAATTGATAAACCATAGTAAGATACTATCCCTAGTCAAGTTTCCTCTTAAAGGACTCCTGAAAAATCGATTGGAATAGCTCAGCTGGCAGTAGATTCCAGCATTTGACAAACTTTTAAGGAATAGAAGTTGGATACGCTCCAGAGTGACCTTATCCTTTTGGAGTGAGGTTGAAATACTGTGTTTCCGTACTCTAAAAGGGGACGAATCAAACTGTTGAAGGTTATGTGGAAATTCCTTCTGTCAAACTGGCCAAAAATGCGCCTCAATGTTACCAGTGCACGGTTTGCTCGAAAGGCATTTTCATCATACTTAGCGTGAGACTTCAAGTCGTCGCCTTAGTCGTAGCTGTAATCTGCAACATGTTTCGGATGGACCACTTTACACTGAATTGTTAAAGGTAAGTCCGGTGCCATCTGCCCAGCTTTGAAGTCTAGTCAGATGATCCTGAATTGCCAGTGTATTCTCTTGGTTGCGTGTCTCTCTCCAAGGTTTCACATCATCAGCGAAAAGTAGTAAGTCCGTTGATATAAATCAAGAAAAGAAATCCTAGCACTGAACCCTCGGGGACATTCCATAGCCTGAAAGTGGAGTTAAACATGACTATAAAATGTCGACCGTTTTAGATATGAAGTTAGCCAATCAATTAGAGGTGATTTGATACCCAATTGTTTGAGCTTATTACTAAGACATATATGGTTGACTGTAACGACCGAACTGCCAGTATTCAGTTTGAACGCAGGGCTGACAGACCACGTTCTTCTGTATAGCTTACAAAGCGTTTTTGAGGCATCGTATTAAATTATATCAAAACACAAACTCCGTGCTCAATTTAAACGATTCTCAAACGGTACAGCCTGTGCTATACAGCCAGACGTTTCTCTGACACAAAGTGGCGCGCTGAGAATGAATACAAATATTCCCAATAAGATGGGATCAAATATCTATCTTCAGGGATTGCAGCAATTCTCCCAAGCAGACAGTCAGAAGGTTAACAGTCACAAACCGAACCACGCCGTGACCTTGAGCTTAGTCAAACACGACCTTACTTTCAATGGTCCGGCAACATGCAATAGAAAATTAGGTGACAAAACATAAGTCATTAATCAGGATCACATAATAAAAGCTCAGACGAAGGTGATGGAGAACAAAAGGTGCGGTTAATAGAGGTCTGAACGAAGGTTAAAATATACGATAGGGAGAAGGAACAAACAAATGACAGCACTGTCCATCAAAAAAACTGCAGAGGGATTTCCATCTTTCTCTTTCCGTTACATTGACCCCATCAAAAACTTTTGAAAAATCAAGGTAAGTGATGTCAACCTTCTCCTTGTGATCAAGAATAGTTGTCTATCTGTCCACCGCAGTCAGCAGATTGGTTATACAAGAATGACCTTTCCTGAAATCACGCTGTTGAGATGAAAAGAAGTTTCAGGATAGTAAATCATCGTGTATACCGTCGCATATCAGAGACTCCATAATTTTTGAAGGTATAGAGAGAAGAGCCAACTGTCAGTAGCTTGAAGTTTCTCTGCGTCGACCCCCATTGAAAATTGGTGTGATGTGAGCCAGCTTCCAAATTTCCGGCAATGTGCCTCAGCTTGGTGACTGTGAGAACATCACGCTAAACGGTATTGCCAGGATTGAAGCTGCTTCTCCCAATATAAAACAATGAACCATATCAGGACCAAGAGAAGTGTCTTTTATTAAGTGCTACGTTTTCCGGTGCACCAATTCAGCTCTCAGGTTCACTTCGTAAAGTCCTGTGCAGTTGCAGATGAAGCTTTCATCAATATAGTTAATATGGGTCGTCCAAAATGTCCGAGAGTACTGTTCAGCCAAAAGTTTAGTGGAGTCATGGTAATTATTGTTCGGGCTATTAGGACCTAACAGTCGAGAATCTCCAGTTTTGGCCTGTTAAGGAGGCTGCATAACGGAATAAGCTTTTTTCATTGAAGACAGATTTACCTATAAGCTTTATCTGGTACTGAAGCATGTCTCCTCTTATTGCCTTTGTGCACATGTCACTTATATGTTTGCATTGCCTGTACGCACCGTTGTTATCAGTTCGTTTTTATTCTGCCCAACAGTGCCTTTTGCGGCCTGGCAAACGGAGAGTATGGTTCTTGATGACTGTAGGTTTCCCGTAGATTTCGGGGACTATTTGAGGAACAGACTACTTTGCTGCACGTAAGATCGTATGCAGCAAGAAATTTCAATGAGCATCTACATGTTTAGGGAAGATTTCCTATTCCACCTGTTGTATGTTGTCCTGTAAAGCTCACACATTCAACCGTTTGAAATTTCAGTGCCTGTTGTTGGTGGGATGTCTTAGCTCAGTTTTGCTGATAAAATTAAAGGCTATGACGGCGTGATCGCTTTTCTTCTGAGGAACTAGGACTGAAAAGCTGATTAGGAATTCTTCATGTGTAAACACACAGACTAAGCGCGACGCGTATGATTGTTTCTCCAACGAGTTGTCAACTTCACATTTCTGAATAGTCGCAGATCCTCAATGAGGTTGGAGAACCGAGCTTCGGTAGAGTTTTCACCTCGAATATATTTATGTTCCGCGAAATTGAATTTAGGAAGATTGACGTCCCCGAGAATCAGGATATGAGGGAGTCCGAGACGAGTAGAACGATTGTCATACTCGTTGTCAGCAGTGGGCTTCCTGTAGATGACCACAACCAGACAGACGGGCAGACAATCTTACTGAGCACCATACGGATTCATCAAGATTGATATACTCTTGATTGTGCATTTGATGTACCTTCAGGCAGGATTGTAAATATAAGGCTAATCCACCCCAATTCCTGTTTTTCTATCATTGCAAAATAAAGACATCTCGGATATTGCCAGCTATTGATCCGTAAACGTGGAAGATATCCAAGTTTCAGATATTTCTATCAGATGAGCACTATTAGCTTCACTGAGTTCACGTACCTTATTCATTTTGTTCTGTAAACTCGCGGCGTTCATGTAGAAGCAATTTATGCTTTCAATTTGAAACGACTGAACTTCTCTTTTCTGTTTGTCCGTATGAGTCTCATGTGGATGGACAGACAGACTATCTATGAAAGGGTTTCCAAGTTGGTAGACTCTATCCTTTCCACACTTTTTTATGATCAAGACAGTCCACATGTTGAATAGTCAGCTCAAACTTGCCTTTGTGTTTGATTCTGGAGTCATATGGCCTGTGCGGATGCATAAGGATTCTAGTTGGCAACCAACGTCTTTTGGCATGAAATGCTTACAGAGTTGCTGCCACCATATGGGAGGATGGAAAAATCATCTTCATTAGCTGGGGTCTAGGATCTCCGTCCTTCTTGGTTAGTCTCATCACTTGCTGAGTCAATATGTCTCCGAGCTTCAAGAATTGCTTGATGAATATCCATTCCTTAATATCAGAGTTTGTGTCACCAGGTTCCGTGTTTTCCGTTACACCATGCACAATGACACTTCGTCCGCGAAAAAATTTCTCGTGAAACTCTTTAGAGATGTTCCGGATGGGATCGCGCTCAGAATACGAAGTTTTAGGCAGTATACTTACATTCCCATCCGATTTCAGTAAGTCACTAGCTAGTAGGATATCCCTTACGTCTGTGGCGTTAGTGAATGTTACACGAAGTAGCCTTGGGTGATTTTGATGCTTAGAGTCATTTCGTCGAGTGAGCCGTGTGACCGTCAAAGGCTCTATTTTTCGAAGCTCAAGTTTCATGTTTAACTCTTACCAGAGCAGCCTGATCTTCTAAATCCTTGTACAAAGCGCTCTTTAGGTCTGATATGGCCTCTCTGGTCTCTTACCAATAACCGGAAATGTTCACTTTGCCTCTGAGATATTGGGATATTTAAATACTTCCAGGGATACGAACTTGGCATTCACATTGCTGATAGATAATTGCAATAACAAATCTGAGAACCATAATTATGCGTAGGCTAAACAACATTGTATTTGGTTTAGCCATATCGATTAACTGCCCTCCCTGCATTTGCTTCAGCTCCAGCATACACACCTTTGGTTTCTTCTTGACAAAGAAACTGTGGATAATTTACCGGATCCATACGACGTTGCGAACTAGGATGGTTATAGTTAGCGTTACAGCTCTAAGAAACTTTTAAAATCAATTGTCGTGAAGCATGTGCTCATCACTGTTTCTCTTCTTCTAAACATTCGTCTAGTGGCTCACGCACGTCTCCAATTTATGTATACATAACTGGCACATCTACACCAGAACTGTTCTTAACACCGTCTAAGACGTACGTACGACATCACCTTGAGGTCCACAATGTATGTGCCTCCATCTCTTCAGAGTCGATTAAATCGCTCAGACCAATTACAAAGACGAGGAATCAAGTGGGTGATAGGTTTAAAATGTAAATCGTACGAGGGGACCCCAACATCTAGGATCATGTCATTAAGCCTACAGGAAGATAAAAGGTATCAGATAATGGCATACAGCATAAGTACGCCAAGACACCGAAACGCGAGCATATTTACGAGAACACATCTCTACGTCCCTCAAGGTAACCCTCGAGAGACTGCGCATCAATGGGCGAACATCCAGGTACGCTTCCGATTTTTCCTATTACAAGTTGACCTCTGGGCTGAAGTGACCACAGCCCTATCAATGGATAGCTTTAAGTTAAGAATTGATGATAAAACACCTACATCAACCATGGATTGCCATGCCCCTCTTGAGCAAGCTGTGTCTGATACGTGTCTCGCAAGTTACCACTTTCGTCAATATACAATTTTATTTATTTTTTTTAACACAAAGATATTGGTACAAGGAGGTACCGAATACATATGCGCCACACAAATCTCATTTAGTCTGTGTGAGGGCTGTGATATTGCCCGGGTGCCCAAACCTAAGCAGATGGTTTTCTTAGGGGTCACACCCGGAGCCTTCGACCTAAAGGTCTGATACACAAGGCAGTAGAGCAATGTCGACAGGTGCAGTTCAATGGTAGCCGGTGACCAACAATAGGTTCATACTACATTTGTTCCTTCAAGATACTGGAGCCCATGTGCACCATTGGTTTGGAACCAGGGTTTCCCAACTCCTGTAGGTGGACTCACTGTGACCACAGGCCCGGTTGAAGCGCCGGGCATTCGCTTTCGTCCTTTCGATTTCGTAAACAACACCCCCGCCACGAGAAGGCAATGAGTAGGACTTCCCTGGCAGAGGCTATATACGCGTGGCCATGTGAGAGCAATTCGAGAGGAAGAGCGGACTCTCCCCACTCTCGGCCGTACCAGGGCATTTAGCGGCATACCGCAAGTCTATAAGTCATTTCTATCTTTCTTATTGTCAGAGCCGTTTCCCACTTATTATTTTAATTCCGTCTTACACATTATCAATTAATTAAATTATTTGCCATCTATGATACAATCCTTTTTCCTTAACACTTGAATTATCACGTTATAATTTTTACACTACAATTAACCAACCTCCTGCCACGTAATTTGATTAAGTTCTGTACTTTCAGACTCGTCGCTGGATAGTCATTCATTGCCACGGATATGAGTCGTTACATGGAAGAAGTAGTTCAGTTGTTTTTACTTGCATGTGGTTAGATTTACTAGCAAACGCGATGATATTTAATTTCGGATCTCATGACAGACGCCGATAACACCACCCTAAATAATCTAAAGAACAAAGTCAACATAAAGATGGTTCAATTAAAAAGCTATTTATATTTATACATTTTTAAGAGGTTAGAGAAACGTCGAACAATTTGAGTTATTGATGAACATATCGATATGTAAATATGGTGTGAAAATATTAACATACTTGAAACAAGAATATTAGTTATTAATGCTGTCTCGAATACAGCGAAGTTTGGAAATGACTGAAACATAGATAAATGTTTGTTGATCATTCATGATAATTTCCAAAAGTGAGTAGCATATGAATAGATTTCATACTGGGATCAATTGACAGTTTGTGTTCCGAGTTTGGTCGAAGTAAAGGGGAACATTGTTATTGCGTTGAACTGTAATAACCACATAACGATGCAATAAGTATGATTGATTATGTAAATTCTATGATCAATAATATTAAGTATTGTTGACAGAGAAAAATAAATCAACTGTTATGTTCCAATTACTAACATGTGAAAAATTTTCGATCATAATGAACGGTTGATGGTTTTGATACCGAGGTAACCTTTATTTAGATTTGGGACAATAAATTTTAACTTGGTATGACAAGAAGAGAAAACTAACTGGTTGAGAAATGAATCCTAGCTGAACGTATCACAATGAAATGACTTTTTCAAATGTTATCCATATGATAATAGTGCAAAACAATAAAACTCCAAAAACGAAAATATTAAAAAGTGGCAAAGTTCCTATGGATTACTAACTTTGTAACGTAAACATTTCAATAATGTGAATCAGATAAAAAATTACGACATCATGTTACCAGAACAACTGCATTTTAACTACCGAACTTAAAAATGTCGTGGCTTTATAAACCAATGAAAGCATTAGTTTTTATCAGCGTTATGCAATGCTTTTATTTTCATAAGAAACGTCCAAGTCCTAAAGTCCTAGTGTATTTAAAACATAACAGTAAAATGATTTCATGATAGAAAGTAGAAAACAAACAGTATAAGATGGAAGTAGTCTGTTACTTTGAACAACACTACTTTACATCTCAACATACTGCATGAGATGATGAGTCACCTAGGATAGTGGTCACAATGAAACTTGATTTACAGAATTCGATCGACACTAAAGAGATACTTAACATACAGGACACTCGTCAGTAATAAAATAAAATACGACGAAGCATGAGAAAGAACATAAATAGAACAGAAGTCTAACATTTGAGGTAAATAAAGTTAATTTTAAGTGATAATCACACTTTACAAATGTAAATTATTACCTTATTATACGAACTGTTACGTTTTAGGTTTGACTTTGCCACATCAGAATCAACTGACGTTTTCACGTAGTCTGGACTGTGTGAATGAACTTCATTAACATTTCTCTCAAGATATCTATCATGTGTAATTGAATCATTGGTATCTGGAGAGCTTGTTAGAAAAAGACATTCTTTGTTTGGTGGTTGATTTCTATCACGTGATTGTAGCTGCTCATTTATGATAGCTAAAGTTTCTGCACGCCTCTGGTGTAGTTTTTCCCGTAAGTCAGCTAATTCTGCAGCGTAAGTAGCTGCATCTATTTCATCGATACGGCAATTAGTCTAAAGGCATAAAATATGTTATGAAATAATAATTTGGACGTTTTAAGTGTTTAGGGTTTCAGTGATTGATAAATATCCTATCCATTTAGAGATTGTTGCATAGTTTCAACCCCTCCTATTTCATTTATTATCCCAAAATTCGCGGGAACATGGAAGATTTAACAAACTACAACTATTTTACTGTCTACAATCGAATAAAGAGGAATAACACTAGCGTTGAAACAAACATCTTCACGTAATTATACTTTTGTCCTATGAGATAAGCATCCCTATCTTAAATGAGACTAATGTTTCGAACTTGTAGTACTAAGTTCAAGTTTAGCTTCCTAAAACAATACCTAAGTAATTCAACATATAAATGCCCTCCATGAATATATTTTGTTGAGTGTAACGTAACTTAGTAACCATGTACAGATTCATCTATCAGAATTTTAGATACCTGAATATTTCAATCTAAGAAGATTGAGTAAGATTCGAAGACATGATACTACAGAAGGTTGAAAGGTTTGATAACTAATCAACAGCTACAACATGGTCAAACGTTGTCACAGTAAAAGCTTAGGAAGCCTTTGTATAAGATCAGTAGGACAACAGATCGTGATCTTTGATGACCATTATTCAAAAACATGATTGGAAGTACTTTTCAATAAATTTTCATTTGTTATTTGAAAAATCAACAAAATAGAATATTTAGAGACAAAAATACGGTGATATTTGTACATTTTTAATTTGTTTTGGCGACTAAAATATACAATTCGATATTTTAAGAAAATAAAACTAATGTTGCAAAAACAAAGGAGCCTAAGCATTTATGAGAAATTAATAGTTGCGGAACTACTGATTTTTATCACATCTATTTACCATAAAATGTATTGAAAAAACTTCAACGCATGATAATTCAACATCGTGTAGCCACAGAATAAAAAGTGGATGCCAAATCAATTGATGACGTAGTGAAACTTCATCAGTTGGCTGGGACACGTGTTACGTATGCCCAACCACCGACTGCCCCGACGTGCGATGTTCAATGGTGTAGGAGTAGGTTGGAAGAACGCTAGGGGTGGCCAGACCACAACATGGCACAAATCCATGAAGTCACTGACAAGTGGATTAAGTCATGTTGGTAGGTGTAGACTACCTGGTTGGGATCCGCGAGATGATAGCAACCAACGGTTAGAGACCCTGAATTACATGGCTCAGAACTGTCTGCAATGGCGCAGGTGCATACACTCTTTGTGTTATCCCAAATTTTGATCTCCTTATTCTTCCTTGTCTGTTTTTTCTCTCCCCAAATTTATTTCACTGTATTATACTCTTTAAATAATATCTCCAAACACTAATTTTCCTGATTACTGCTTATACTCTTATTACCTCTACCACTACGGGATTTGAATCGACCACTGCATCTCTGTGCTAATGTGGTGTGGCAACTCGAACTGATGTACGTACGTACGAAGTTTTACGTTGTTACTGACTGACTGGATCAAATACTGTACTGCTCCCAAGATTTTAAATGTATACTAAAGAACATTCGACCATAAATGAATTTATGATTAGGACCATAAATAGTGCATTTTCTCAGTAATTTTAATTTTCGTATCCCCAAAAGTAAATGTTTAGATACTACTATCTTTCCTACATTATATCCATTCACTTACAAACTTATATTCTCATTATGCTTAATATAATCACAGTAATTATATTTACTTGAAAGAGTATGCAGCGTCTGTTATTGAAATAAATTACTACCGGCTTACCAATCGAGTTAACTCTTGCTCTAACTTGTTTAATTCACATTGGCGACGTCGAATATCGAGTTGTCTAAAATGACAACGAGATTCTTCAGCTAAGCTTAATTCATGTAATTTCACTTCGCGAATCAATGCACTTAATCTGTAAAGTAATGAAAATAGCAACTAAATGCTGAAAATTTGGTTAGTAATAAAAGTTATTTAGTTCTTAAACAGAAGCCCAACTAGTAGGAGCTGTTCTTGATCATAACAAAAGCCTTTTATCATAATGGATTTAAACTGGTTTTATTTCTTATTATGTACGCAGCCCGGTCTGATGAGGTTTTCCACATAAAAATAGTCCACAAAACGCTAAAAATGATTCAGCGACAATCCCTAACATTTTCTGACTGATAATAATTATAAGTGCTTTTTGTAGAAAACTGGCGATCATCCTAAAACATCTTCGACGAGGACCTATCTCAAGCTTCAACAGGTGCTTAACTTGGTTTCCCATGATATACATTCTTGGTATTTTCATCATACTTAACTAATAGATATTTTCTTGTTGCAAGGTTTCTGCATCAAGTGAGACTCAGACATAAATATGCCAGCAACAGAGCATAGGGTCAATGTGTGTAATATAGGAGATAAGATAACCATTTACTGACCTTTATAAATGGTGACAGGATAGTTCAGATGAAAAAATAACCATTCAATACAGTCAAATCAAAAGAGAACGGTTGCAGAATTATTATTCACATAGTAGCCGAGTAAAACACGGTAGATGATATATAGAATTTAGACAATTGTTGATGTTTATTGAGCTTATTTAGTGCACTGCTGAACTTGGTTGTTCCGTTTAGAATTAGGCTCCAAATGAATTCTTCATTCGAAACTAATATTGGGGATGCTAGACACCCAGAAATAACTTGATAAACATCTCATTTATGTAGTTTTGTTTTGGAAATCTTAATTTTTCGTTTTTGCGCCAAAAGCACCAATTTTTACCTTTAGATTGTATTTCCTACTTGAAAGGACCTTAAATGTCATTGGTTCGTTGACTCTTTTAATATGCTACTTTATGAGATTTCCAAAGGATATTATTATGCTGTAAATATACACCCTTGGGTTGTTTGTTGTTGTCCGCACTTCTGGCTGCATGTGGTAATATACCTTTTCTCTCATCTGAACCCCACCTCCCTCTAGTTAGCAGGACTGGGACATTTCGGAATAGTTTAGCTTGTTTTGCTGTTGTGTCGTTGATCCTTCGTTCTGTTCGCCGATTTTAGGTGATCCTGTAACCTTAAAACATAGCAATTCGGTGACGAGGCCGGTGCAAAAATGGATCATTCAGAAGTGGAGTTATTGTTGTAGCAGCAACGGAGTGTTAACAGAAACGAAAATTACGCCTACCATACAACCGGGCACTTCTAAATCTGCTACTGCGCTGTCAGTATTGCCGAATTTCATTACGATCCCGAAGCCAATGTTACTTTTGATATGTGCTTCTGGCACTATGAGAACTTAGTTAAATTTGATTTTGCCAACCAAGATGATGTTTGGAAGATTCGACTGCTACTTCAAAACTTGCGTCCAAGTGAGCTAGACAGGCACCGTATTTTGATTTTGCTTATAAACCCATGTAACCGTCCATTCTCGGACACTATCCAGCCGTTGAGCTAAGTTTGGAGATAACTCCTCAATGTTTAACACATTATCGATGCTTAAAGCTGGTTATGAACGAAGACGCTGATTTCCTTAGGTATGTGGGCATCGTCAAGCGCCAGTGCGGACGCTTCTGGCTGAAGTCACTGACTAAAGACCAGTTTAAAGCCCTCATCCTCATCTGTAGTTTCCAATCACAAAAGTTCATTAGCGTTAAAACACGGTTGCTTCGCCAATTGGACCAAGATCCCAAACCGACTCTCAAGGATATTGCAAACGAATATCAATGTTTAATTAATCTGTAACACGACACTACAGTGGTCCGGTGTGGTGATTCCGATCGTTGGGAAGTTCACACAGTCCAAAAACTATCCAACACAGACAAATTCGCCCCTTCTATTCCTAATCCATCTCGTCCGAGTTGATTACAATGGACGAAAACTAATCCTCCTGCTCCCTGTTGGCACTCTGTAGTACATAGCATTATGTACGAACCTGTGCGTTTAAACAATATCGTTGCAGGAAATGTAAATCCGTTGATCACAAAGACTAATTTTAATAAAAGAAGAATCTAAATCCGTCTGAAAGTACTAAAAAGCCTGTTTCCAGATCCTGCACAAATTCGTTGAACCTATTAGAGTCCTGTCACAGCTCAACCCCAGGTGAGAGAAAATTTATTACCCTTAATATCAATGAGAATCCATTTAGATTGCAAATAGATACTGAGTCAGACACTACCATTCTCTCACGGGAATTTCAGATTAAAATGAGCAGCCCGCATATGGTACCGACAACACAGAGGCCACGTTTGTTGGGACAACTAGATTGTAGTGTCTTCCCGTGAATCAACGTCTACTGGGGTATGTTACATAACGCCAGCTGGCCTAAATTTACTTGGTTTAGATTGGTCCGACCAGCTGCAGCTAACTGACGTCCCATTAAGTACTATAAGCCATCTGGTAAGACAACTCCGTGAACTTGAAGTATATACGACGAAGTTAATGGTGGAGTTTCCAACCATTTTCCAGCCGTTGTTGGGTCGATGCTCTGCTATGAAAGCAACCCTTTGGTTAAAACCTGGGACTAAACCCGTTTCCCGTCCGAGGAGACCAGTACCATATGTGGCATTATCAAAAGTTGATGTAAAACTCAATCGCCTCCAACTACAAGGAGTTATCACGTCCGTTTCTTATTCTGCTTGGATAGCACTTATCGTAGTTGTCAAGAAAGCTTATGGCACAATACGCATATGCGCAGATTTCACCGCAAGCTTTAATGAAGCCCTAGAGCAACACCATTATCTACTACAGATTCCCGTAGATTTGTTCACTACGGTGGGAAGTTCTTTGCAAAGCTGGACCCTGCTGATGCCTATTTACAAATGGAACTGGATGAAGAATCAGGAGAAATGGTAACCATTAAAACTTATTGTGGTTTGTTTCAATATAATCGTCTACCATTTGAAGTTAAGACCGCCTCATCTATTATCTATTATCCAGCAGCTGATAAATACCATCCTATTGCGTGTCTCGGGGGGTCGCAACTTATCTCGACGACACCTTAATTGTTGCCACGTCGCCAGAACAGCTACTAGAACGCATAATGGCTATACTACAACGAATCAGTGATAATGATTTCTGACTGCGTCTAGGGACGTGCCAGATTTTCTTAAAGTCAGTAAAGTACTTGGATTTCATTTTTGACGCAGCAGGCTGCAGACCAGATCCTGAAAAAATTCGAGCTATATGGCTGATGCCTACTCCCATTATTGTTTCTGCCCTACGATCATCTTTGAGACTAGTTAGTTACTACTCGTTTTTTGTTCCGTCAGTTCATGACATCCGCGCCCCTCCGAATTGTCTTCTGAATAAGAATACCACTTGGAACTGGACGAAAGAATACGAAGCTAATTTTGAAAGCTGAAGACGATCATTAGCTCGGAATTATAATTAACGCACCATGATCCGCCCATGCCAATCACCATAGCTGCGGATGCTTCAGCTTTTGGACTTAGTGCTTTTATCCCACATCAATTTCCGGAGGCGGCAGAAAGGGCTATCATGCATGCAACCCACACATTAACTCCGTCAGAAAAATATAGCCAGATAAGAGCAGAGTCTTCCCCCTTGTCTTTGCAGTGCGCTGTTTCCACAAGTGCTTGTATGGTTGAAGATTTATTCTTCTAAAATACCACAAGCCTCTTCTCATAATTTGCGGTCCAAAATCTGGCATTCCAACCCATTCTGCAAATCGTCTCCAGTGTTGGGTCTTGGTAGACAGACGCATAGCAACTAAGTATCTGCAAGGATATAAACAAAAGGTCTAACAGATGTATTTAATAAAACAGGCTGACATTTAAAGTTAGACTAAATGACACATAACCTTTTCCGTTGTTCACGTAGCTTATTTTCTTCTTCAGCTAATAACGTCCTTCGATGGTCCTCAGCATCTAAAAGTAACTGCTGCTGGCGATACCTGGAAAAAAATAAAGAACAGTGAATTTCAAGGCTGAAACTGTTGGTAAAGTTACGAGATCATGCGTGACTTTATAAAAGGCACCAACGGTTCGCGATTACACGACATTACTCGGGGTAAAAATAAAATACTACCGCAACAATTATACGACTAGCTTTTTGTGATTTCCGAACGATCATCAATCTTGTTAGTATCCAGTTGAAGTACAAATTGATTATGTGGGGTTATTACGACAAATCTACACTAAAAATGAATAGTTAACATAAACCCATGAAAATGATTACATTAACAAATTAGAAGAAATTATGCGCGATACATAAATTATTGTACCATATGTTTCTATCATGTAAAATACTCAATTAAAAAAAACCTAGCATTGCCTAGATAATATTCTAAGTGATTTATCATTCGATCTATTTTATTCTCATGAATATTTTGAGGGAACTTCTATGAAAATAATGTTAACTAATTGGTTGACATGTTCAAAAATATGAACGATTGGGTGATTTCTCTAATACGAGAACAACTTGGTGGATAGGTACAGAACAAAACTGACGAGTAAAATCGCACAACAATAAAAAAGGCAGAAGACGGGACTTACGAGCCAGATATAATGTTTCAAGAAGAAATAAATAAATGAGTAGCATTACAATATACATATATGGCATAGTAGACAATAGGAGTATGTGTGGATTATTTGATATTCTCATATTGAAACGGTCATCATAATACTGAAGTATGAAAGGTTACAACAATCATTGTCGTTGTAGCAACACCAACAAACCACCATAATGATTTGGGTCAACACCAACACAATAGACTAACAACTCATACGTACCAATTTATACAGTAATATACTTTATTATCATTTCGAAGTTATATTATTAAAACAAATTGTTGACATACATTGAAATTGAAATCTCAGTCAAAGGTGTATAAAAACAGCAATAAAGTACTTATTTACTGTATGAAACTCAGTATTATCAGGTTTTAACCGCTTTGTTAGTGAAATAGAACATAACACATGAAATACTTGCTTAGGTATTTGTTAGCGGGACATAGACTGGATTAAAGCATACTCAATGCACGATTGCTTTGGTGCACGCCGATTGGCTAGTTCTTACCCAATCAGCATTAGCCAATACTTAATGAACACTAGAAATCTCATGTGAAAAACTATAAATATACTAACGTTTTCCCTATTGTGCTTCTTACTTCCATCTAACCTTGTTATTTGGAATATAATCTCTTTTCCTGTTCAACCGTGCTCTGATTTGGGGGACTTGTCGAGTGAATTGGTGTCCGAGAATACTAAGCAATAGGAATAGCTGGGTTGTAAAAAAGAGAGAATTATAACAGTATTACCATAGTTTATTTAAATAAAAACTAACCAATTGTGTTCTTCATTCGTCATTAATTGAGCTCGACGTTGCATATCTTCGATCGTAGCTCTAAATAAATGATAAATTTAAAAACACGTTCAAAATAGTTCTTAAACGTGTCTAGAAAACTGAACTAACTAATCTATATGAAGACCGCGTCAGTTTGAAAATAGATTTCGTCACGAAATGACATAAGTTAGCGAAACACTGAAAAAAGAGGCTATTGGACAACTGTTCTCATTACTTTGGATTCTGAAACTAGATAAAACAGCTGTTTAATATGTCCTGGTTTTCTGAGGTTTTCCAGCTGAATTTCGTTTCTGATAAAGAATGCCTCAAAATTAGTAGTATTTGGAAATGATTTCAAGGGTTATACATCAGGTTATCTTAATTGTTATTATTATTGTGATTGTTGTCGGTTGTTGGTGTCGAAATATACTCACGTTATAGTTAGGCCAGTCACGTGTTCTTGATCTGAGTTGTGTTGAAGTCCTTTGAATAGACACTGAGAGGGTATCTAGTACATACATTCGTCTAAGGTAAATTAACGTCCAATTGTGTAGTGAGAAAACTGATTAGACTTTAAAACAATCTCTCTATCAAGGGATAGATTTCGACCAAGTGGCTACATATCAACTTTATACAGTAAAGCTTAAACCACGAGACCCGACTGTACATAACGTTTTGAACGTTTAATATTGTAAACGTTCAGACTAAATTTAAATAATAATTATTTCTGACCAATACATTTTCGATAACCAATAAGTTAAGAATATTTATATTTCTCTTCCTAATTGTAAATTTATATCACATTTCTAATAACTTCTTTTATGGTATCAATAGGAATCATTTATGAATATAAACACTTGCAATTTCTCAGTTGGATATGTAGAAACTAGTAGACATTGAAAGTAGTTCTCTCACATTCTAAAATGAAGCCTACTTAAGCACAAATATAAAACTACTAATCTGCAACTGACTTAAAAAAGCATCAGGATTAATATTATGTAATGAGGCATTAGTAATAATGTCAGCTTCCCAATTAACTGAGTTCTATGCAAATAATGATCTAAAACTCCAAGCTGTTTCTTTAATTCATGTAAAGGAATAATTATAAATCTATAGCATAATTTGGATTCTAGTATCAATAAACTATCCACAAAATTGTGTTTGCTGTATCTGGACAAACAAACAAAATTACTTATTAATCCTGTGTTGAACAAGTTAATCAGCATACACATAGATATCGTAAAATCTCGAATTAGTGGTGAACGCAACAATAATATTTCTCCATTTTTATTTTCTATTCAAGTTGTTGCATTCCATAAACTAAGAAGGAATTTTTCTTTCGGAAAATGAAAAACCAGTATGGAAATTTATACAAAAGATGAAAGTTTGTTCAGATTATCGCAGAAAAAATATAGTGCATCAAAATTGAGCAAAACATTTATTCACTGTGTTTCGTTGTTTTTCCCAGTATACTTAGTAAAGTATCTTAAACTACCTAAAATTATTGTTCGCTTTCAATACTGAAATTGTTCATTCCAATTACAACGAAATGTTACAAGTGAAGAAACTGGTTAAAATAATGACACTTAAAAATTCAAGTTAATAAACAATGAGGGCAACATATAGGTTAAAAGATGTTGTTTTTATTACTTTAAACGCATTCTATAGGGTAGTCATTTATCATTAGTGATGTTCGATATGTTTCATACTGATTAATTCTTGATCAAAAAAGAGTTAAAAATATTTCATTATTATTACTAAAACAAGAAAATTCCAATGAGATCAAGTATCAACTTACGTACTTAAAGCAAGGAAAACTACTCAGAAATGAACTGAAAGTTAGAAGAAAACAGTAATCTGCATAGGACGTTGAACCCGAGTGTAATAATTTCATTTGCCACACCTTATGAGATTGTGCATAAGGCAAAGTGGATAGGAACGAAAAGTAATCATAATGAATGAGAAAAGCATAAGAGAGAAGAAACAAAAAACAAAGGACAAAATATGCAACATTTAAGTATGAAGAACCAAATGAAATAGACTGCTTCAAGATACAATGAAACATACTTTTGCCTGAGATATTCTTTTTCTTCCTCTCGTATACGTTCACGTTCTTGTATATGATAATTTACAATGAATTTAGGATAACGAGTGATTATTGGATAGTATGGACTTGTCAGTGGTTGAAAAGATAGGCAAGTATTTTCTTTGTTTTTATTTTGAGTATCCGTTTGTATAAGCGAAGACAACAATTTTTCTGGATGTATATCTGAAGGTATTGAAGTAAGTAATTGATGAGCACGCTCAATAATATTTGATATTGGTAAAGTACTTTGACTATGGTAGTATGCCTGTTGACAAACGAAAAAGTGACTTTCGTAAAAGCGCACAAAAATTAGACAAGTACGATTTAGAAAAACACTTGTACCATGATGACAAGGATAATTTGTATGATGATGATTTTGAGAATTAATTTGACGAAAATTCTGTCAAATAAATAAATAAGCTATATTTCGTATTTTAGCAGTTTCAGAAACAAATGTAACAAAAAATTTCAATATACACATTCGGACAGTAAAATTGCATGTGATGAGACAAGCACAATAACCTTTAAAGCACAAGACTGAAATCTCGTAGTCTGGATTTTGAACTTTGTTAAATTTGTGATAAAGCCTAATCGACTCACTCAATATGAGTGACGTGTAAATTGACTAATTTATATACATATCAAACAGATTCTGCTTATTTCATCATTTGTATTAGTTGTTTGGATCTTTTAATTGATGTTTAGGACTGCAATTGATCAGTCTGTTTTTGAATGTGTGCATCATGTGCGGATTGCCTTAAGTTACAAGTATTACACGCAGATACTGATCAATTTCAGTCTTAAACATCAGTGTGAAGATTCAAACAACCAACACAAATGAATTGAGCTTCATGCCATTGCACAAGCCAGTTGTAATCTGAACTCAGTAGCAAAGTGGATAGATAACGCGATGGTGTTTGAAGCGAACGGTACTGATTTCGAGTTCTGGAGTGAACGTCAACTCTGGGATCCAGGTGTATCAAGTTGACGAGTCCTAAGTAGGCCAAACGAAGGTCCTGTACTCCACTGCTAGCCACTATCCATTTCTGTTTGTATTTGCATGCACATTTACTGAATAGAAATAGCATTTGAAATATGTCGATAATTTTATACATTACATAGTAATACCAACAGGAAAATATTTACTTCAAATGTATCAGTATTCTGAACCATAAGAAGTGGTCCTCGAGCGCAGATAGAATAGCTTGCAACCGCAGCAAGTAATAGACTAGGTGAATAACATATTAATGAATCCCAGAGACAAAACCATTCATCTTCATTAAATACTTCACTTAGACCAGTTTGCAGAAGCGGCCAAGCATAAATCTGAAGCGATTAAAAAAATCCAAGTCACAATTTAGTAAGATGGGGGATAAAAGATAGCAAAAAAACAACGTTCAAACACAAAATAAAATGATTAACTGAGATTAGCCGGAACTGGCACATACGCTTACCTCGGTCGTAATGTTATATTGCACAAAATGACGATACAATTCTGGATCCGCGTAAGCGATAATATTTTCAATCATGCAAAGAATATTAATTGGGGGGTTTGGGAAAAATTCGAACCAAGTACCGCACCAATTGACTGTGCGCAAAAACATATAAGTGAAAACAAAACATAATGTGAATCTCTATGTAATTTTGTTGTTAACCATTCATGCGTCAAGATCGTTTACTCACACGAGAAAGTATGCATAAATATATCTCTGCACCAAAACACCTATTTCCTGTGTACAAATAATTTGGGGTTATATCATTCCAATTCACTTGACATAAACTACACCCTAGACACATTCTATTACAACCAAACAACCACGTCCTACCTATATCATAACATTCTCTACTGGTTTCAAGGTTAAACAGTTCATGTCAATCGAAACACCTTCCAGGACGATGTAAATAAACAACATTTCCAAATAAACGTGAAATTTGTAAAATTAAATGACAATAAAGGTTCCATTCATAAGTTATCACTGTTCAGAGCAAGCGTTATGATATTTTCACTGTGAACCAGGAGGACAGTGAATAACTGTAGCATTATTTTAGTAACGTTAACAGTTTAATGAAAAATTGGCTAAAATTCGTTAGGTACATCCACTAATCGCTCTCCTGAATTTGAAACTCAATGGTTCACTTCCACAACTTTCATCAGCAAAGTAGACAACGCAACTAGTCGAAACATTTTTCTAAAACAGTTACTATATTTTGTTATAAACGGATGGCTAATACACTGTTATGATGAAATTACACTGAGTTTACTTTGACCAGTTCCATTTTTCAGCTAGTAATTTCACTTTAAAATTTTCCATTCATTGATGTGTAAACCCAGTTTGATAACAAAATGTTTTGATCACCACCTGAGCTGGCTATCGTATATTAGACTATCATCAATAAAGTGAAGTTTACGTGATATTCGATAAATGGACGCAACTGATAGAAAACTGAAGGTAAACATTCTGTATATTTTCAAACTATTTAGCAAAAATAACTACGGGAATAAGTCATATGAATTGTGAGATAAATACGAGTTACTGGTTTTCTTTATTTTATGGATACATTTATGATTGAAGACGTATTATGTAGATGTTGAAAATACCGTTTGACCATACATTTTGAAAAGAGTGTGAAACGATTTTGATACGCCACTATGAAGTAGACGGTTTCTTAGTTACATATTTTATGCACAACATCCACCTTTATAATTCAGTAACTATAGAACACTTACTCAGTACTGTAGCTGCAACTTCAAATGCATGCAACAGATTATTCTGATGTAATTTTAGAAAAGGAAAAACAAACAACGGTAACCAATCTGTTTCACCAAACAATGGACACCAATAAGCCAATGCCGAACAAGTTCTTTTGTTATTGTGATTTGATTTTTTCCAAAAATACAACAAAGAATTCGAGAGAAAAACATTTTTATAACAGTTAGATTGGACAGAATAAGTGATTGCAAACACCTTAGCGCCAGTTGAATATCACCAATGAGTATTTGCTACAGAAACATTTTTGTATAGTGAGGCATCAAGACTTTAAAGACTATAGTGGAGACCTGATTATTTTGTCATTATACTTATCAGAGTTATGATATATTATTCGAATACATAGTCTCGATATAATAGCATGGTTTGTCATACTTTGTTTAGGTAACACAGTGACTTGAATTGACAAGGAATACTACAAATGGCAGTGACCAGCAAACAGATCAGTAAGTCGAGGAGTGATTATTACCAGTTAGTAATATCGAAGTCAGCGTGTATTCCATCATAACAATAAGAGAAATTTAACAGTAAATTTTATCAACTATACAGGTTTGTACAAGTAACTCTCTTCCTCTCTCTGTGTTAACCTTCATGCAACCATAAACCAATATACCTAGTTTTCAATCGCATTCAATAGACGTGTACTAGTTTGTGCTCTCCTATGCTGTTTCTTACCAAAACCAAACAACTTCCAACATCCTAACAATTCAGATTTTAATGGACAGGAACAACAGTTCTTTAACCACGTAGTAATGACATATTACTGGAGTAACCATTAGACAGAATTTCGAATTATGTTTGTAGAAATTTGACAACAAACAAACATTTGGCGATTCAGTAAATGTATGGAAGTGAAACTGTTTTATTTGTCATAGCTATCACTGATCATATATCATATAACTGACATAAGGAATGTTTTTTACCACATAACGATTTCCCTTTTGGAAAATAAGGAAACTCCCAATTATACTTATGAATAACTAGCTAATCACCCAAAGTGAGCATTTGTAATTGGGAATCTAAATACTAACATTCACGATTTTATTTTATTTTATAGACAATCCTGAATTTATATGCTATAATTTTAAACGATATGTTTTGTCTTAAAGCTGGTCATTTTCTGGATGAATAATTTGGATATAAAACTGTAGAAACAGAAAAGAATTCATTGAAAAGAATATTCTTCCGTCATATGTTATTATTTTAATTTAGACGTAGTTGAATTTTGTCTATAATTTATAAAATTCTGATTTCACATCATTTCGATTATACAAATAGGAACAATATTTGAACCTGAATCTGAATTTCAAGCAATTTATGATCCACTTTTTTTAAACAGCTATTTGTATATGATGAACGCTGAACATCAAGACAATTAAATATTTGAGGTTTATTTGTTAAGCAAAATTACAACCAATTACGAATTCACCAAAACTACTGTAGAACCAAAGGTCAATACGAATTTTACTTGAAATATAAATCTTGCATTATCAATACATGTACAAACACATCAACAGATTGTAACTGGAGAGATGCTAGTTTTAATACATAGTGGACACTGATCCGTGTGTTGTGTAGAAAAACTAACAAACATATAAGTAGATGTTTTCATTCTCAGTTTGATAACAACAAATGAATTGTAAGTGTAAAATACTAAGTGAAAAGTACACTACATAAAAAATAAAGCTAAAAAATCAACCTGACCAAAATCAAGATGTAACAAATTTCTATAAATTTCATGACATACTTACAAGTTAGAATTAAGTAATCATAGGTAAGACAAATTTATAAAAGCGATCCCGGAAGACCATTTAAATCAATGAGTTAACATTATGAGATTTACTTGCTTTAAAAATATCTAACTTGAGCTTAATATATAACTAACACCATAAGGTATGGATGGAAGCTATGGTTACAACGCTGAAAAATTTAGTTCATTACCATTACTAAAATCTAAAAAATGTCATACTTGGTACGCAACCGAAAGAGAGTCGATTAAAAAAGCATATCCATCAGAAGAAACAAACTGCCAGTGACACTTACATCTATAGATGAAAGCTAAGATTAATTGTCGATTAACGATTGTTTCATAAAATCAGTGTCAAATAATCGTAAAGAGATGAGCACTCGATAAGTCAAATGGTCAATGAAAATAACGCAGATGATAAAGTATTTCTTACTTTTGCAGGGCTTTCAACAATCTTTGACTCCGCATAGGATATCGCGTAGATAATAAATCATAAGCTGGATGAATACCTTTCTTCTGTAGAATGCTAAAAGCTTGGGTATTACATGGGATTTGCAAAACGGAACGCCAAATGAATAACCTGTTATTAAAATATAATAGGTATAGAACGATATATCAATATATCGTGAATTTGAAGTGCTTCTAGAATAGTGCACTCGTCAGAAATCTACGATGAGATATAATACCAAGAAATGAAATAGAATGAAGGGTATTGATAATCAAAAAAGAATTTAATTTGTTTAAAGCATTTTCATAATGTGATATACTCTCTGTATACACAAGTTATTGCTTTACAGACAATCTTGTGAATACTTCTCCAATACATTCGTTTGTAGTAGTTTTACGAAAAAATAAAAACAAGAATATATTCATAATCCTAATGAGAAAAGGTATATATATAGTTATTTGTTTTAGAGAATATTTCACTTGTATCATATTTAGCATCAGAATAACAAAATTAAAAGTGCACGTTACAACAATATCCATAGAGATTTGTTAGCATTTTATTCTACTGAGGTTAAACAAAGATCTCTCACTATAATACTGTTTATAGCGCATGACCACAGTGTGCATAAGATACTTCAATAGTTAAAATCACAGAATGAAGTGTTGTTAAACAACTTGAAAATAAATAGAGGGATGTAACAAATCACACAGTAGACATATTTTCCATGTAAGTGAACGTTGATCCTGTCATTTAACCAAAATCATAGACCGAAAGTATTTTTCAGTTAAGTTCGTTAACTGTAAACTAATTAAGATCAATTGAAAACAATAATTCAGTACCAGTCTCTGTATTTCATGATCAATCACCTAATGAAGAGTTGTGTGACATTCTAAACTATGCAAAGTGAGAAAACATCTGAAATCATTCCATTTCTTATTTCCAAACCCTGTAAAATGTAACCTAGTTCAGTACGTGGATGAAAACTCCATGTCCAACATTATCAAAGTTCGGAACAAGATATTAGAAATACTATATTATTCGCGTAATGTAGGCATATCATGGCATCTGTAGGGAGGGAATCCAATGGAAATTCGAATGTAAACTGTTACCTCTTCCATTATCACATCTATAAAACAGTGAAACAAAAATAATAGCAAAAAAGCTTGTCGAATACTACCCGTTACCGTCACCATAAAATATCCTTATCTAAGCTGTTATAAGAAAGTATTAGCCTTTCAGTAATAATGGTTTTTGAGAGACTCCTGAAAACCATGTAGTATCAAAAAACTTCCAGTTTAATGGAGCCAAGTGCATTCACTAACAAACAGACAACTATATTTAAGTCTTTTAGCAAACATTATTGAGTTCTAAGGCATACAGAAGGGTATATAATTAGTGAACAATCGTTTATCACGCATAAGATCAACCCAAGTTTCTTATATTTGATGTTCCAGAACTTCAGTAAGGTATTAAATGATAATATGCTTTAACATATTGAAGAATTTGTTAATTAGTTTAATTCTAAAGTTATCGCAAGAGTATTCTAACACTTTCTTACAAAAAAGAGTCATCAACAATTAAGATGGGTTTAAGGAGACTATTCTTTATTTTACTAACATTAGCCGATACCTTACTTAATTACACTAGAAGTTCCTGGCCACTATATCTAAAGACTTTCAGTACCAGATAGTTATATACTAACTTGTTGCTTCCTTCCAGGTTGGTCACATAAATTTGGATTTTGAGACGTATTTGTGGGTCAACGGCAATATTGTATTCCAGATGTGATCGAGTTGTAGACGGAAGATTAGTCGTAAGCCGATTAAACGGTTCCTCGAACTGTGTTGCCTAAGGTGTCAATCACCGATCTCATCAAGGACGAACTCTTAAGAGACAATCCCTTCCAATAAATCATAACGAAATAGAATGTCACTTAACTGCGGTGATTTCTTCATTCCTATTACTTCTGTTTTCTATTCACTTTATATGATCGACAACTAGATAGATTATTGACATGAAAGTGGGCAGCTTTTTTTCTGTATTGCATTTAAGTCTTTCCATTATTCAAGTAACTTTAAAGAACAGGCCTAACATACAGAACAGACCAATTTTTTCACCGTTATAGGTAACGGTGAACAACTCCATGTCTTTTAGTATCCTTAGAAAATACTAGCTTAAATAACATTCGTGGTGTTACACGAAAGAAAAAGTAGCAAAGTAACATAGCATTAGAACGGAAACAGAAATTTCGATGCATAAAACAACACACTTAAGTTTGAGTAAATTGATCTACAATATTTGGTTAAATATGCCGTAGCTGCAATCCAAACGTCGTTTTTATTACAATAACTGCATCGTCCTATCATTTCACAAATGGATTGATACCAGGCTCCACAACACTGAACCAAGGACTTTCAGATTTCCCAACCAGTACCAGTGACAATATTTTCCGATTTCAATCAATCGCACACACAACAACAAATGCAGAAGAAAACGACCAGTGTAGCAGCAGCCTCAGCAGCAGTAGGTCTCAATATACACAAAGGGAAAAGCAAGATTCTCCGATACAACGCAGTATGCACCAATCCAATCAAAATTGACGGAGACGATTTGGAAGATGTAAAAACCTTTACATGTCTGGGCAGCATCATTGATGAACACAGTGGATCTGATGCAGATGTGAAGGTGCGGATCGGCAAATCAAGAGCAACATATTTAGAACTGAGCAACATCTGGAACTCAAAGTAACTGTCAACCAACACAAAGGTCAGGATTTTCAATACAAATGTCAAGACAGTTCTACTGTATGGGGTGGAGACCTGGAGGACTACGAAAGCCATCATCCAGAAAATACAGGTGTTTATTAACAGTTGTCTACGCAATAGTCTTCGGATCTGTTGGCCAGACACTATTAGCAACAACCTACTGTGGGAGAGAACAAACCAGATCCCAGCGGAGGAAAAAATCAGGAAGAAGCGCTGGAAGTGGATAGGACACACATTGAGGAACGCACCCAACTGCATCGCAAGGCAAGCCCTCACATGGAATCCTCAAGGCCAAAGGAAAAGAGGAAGATCAAAGAACACATTACGTCGAGAAACGGAGACAGACATGAGAAAAATGAACCAAAGTTGGATAGAACTAAAAAGGAAGGTTCTGGACAGGGTGGGTTAGAGAATGCTGGTCGGCGGCCTATGCTCCATTGGAAGTAACAGGCGAAAGTAAGTAAGTAATATTTTAGTATCGAATTTCACTCGGATGGATTATTTAAAGCGCTCTATTTTTGACATTGTTTACTTCGTAAAATTAAAGTCTTTCTGATTAATCTCTGTATGAGGATTCTATCAATAATCTTAAAACACAGTCAAAAGAAACTAGATTTTATCTGATCAACATTTGAAATAATGTAAAATTTTAAAATAAGTTAGATTACCGATATTTATTTGGAAATTTCCCAAATTCTCTAAGTAATAAACGTAAACGTTTGCGATCCAAAAAACCATTGGTCTAAGAACAGTGACAGATAGAAACGAATATAAATAAATTAGATCATTTTGGCAAATAATGTAAAAATATAATTTCTACAGCAAAGCAATGAGTGAATTTACTATAAGCTGTTGGGTAGCCCGGAGTAGTTATTAAAATTTGAAGTTGTTTACAGATAACTTCTTAGTGTCAATCTCTACACATGTGCATTTTCACTTCTGTTTTAAAAGTTTTGATTACTTTTATCATTAAGACTGATAACTTTCAACATAAATAACTGTAATAAACTATTTACTCTACACAACAATCACTTTACTAAAATATGTATGATATCCTTCTCCTGGGATGTTATGGTAACCTTCTGCTGTAAACAGCTGTTTACAGCAGAAGGTTACCATAACCAGTTGATGATGCAAACAGTTTTAAAAATTAATTTCTTGAAGTACAGAACAGATTAAACAATTTTTAAATACTCCTGAAGTGTTGAAGCCTTCGTCAATATTTCCCACAGCCTAGTGAAAAAATAGATGGTGTATTTATCGAAGCGTGCTAAGTCACACTAATGAAAAACACAAAAGAATTATGACAGTGTAAAATGTGATCGATAAACGAACCCACCAATAATAAAGGGAAACGCCCACCATCACATTAACTCCTTTTGACCTTGTACGACTGTATCTCTTTATTAACCAATCACAGTTTAACGTTCATTGTAAAACAATAATTGCTTGTTGACTCATTTTTTCCTATTCTCTGGCTACTGTTCGGTAGGTTATTTGTCTCTTTTTCCCTGTATTGGTAGACTGTACTGTTCGTTTGCACACTAACGATGTTAATTTATGTTTTAGAAACAGATAAAGTTTATATAGCCAAATAGCTTACTTGTTCTGACTTTGGCCAAACCAAGACTCTGTACTCGACAGTCTAGAGATTAGTTTAGAGTTGAATCTGTGGGAAATTGCTTCCTACAAAGTTTCGAACAGTAGATTCGATATACCTACTGAAATGACTTCCATTAAACACTACGATTCCGATGAGATTCCAGAATTATCATCACATCATTCAGGAGTTTATGACGAGGATCAACTTGGAAAGAACGAACTCAAAAACAACAGCATGATAGAACTAGAGATAGCTAGGTTGCGCATAACCCAGTTAGAAAAGGAAATTGAACTAGAAAAATTACGCTGCCGGAGATATGAAGGTTCCGGCCAATCAGTAAGCAACAGTGAGAATACAATATTAAAAAATCTGTATTTACCAAAAAGAGAAGTCATAAGGTTTGATGGTACACCGACAAATTATTGGAATTTCATTAGAAATTTCGAAGAATGCATTGGGAGTGAGAATATTGGATTTAGAGCTAAGCTAAATTACTTGATTCAATATTGTGACGGAGAAGCGAAAGCCGCTATCCTTCATTGTACTATACTAGAACCAGAGATAGGTTACCATCAAGCCCTAAAGCTTTTAGAAGAAACGTTTGGCCAAAAACACGTCGTAGCACGCACGTTTATCGATAATTTGTTAAACTTTCCCAATATAAGGAGAAATCAACCAGATGGTTTGAGAAGATTATCTCGAGAAATGCAAGCATGTAGTTTGACTCTCGAACAGATGAATTACGTTTCTGATTTGAACTCTTCTAGAACTATTGAAACTATGGTTCTGAAATTACCAACGCACATTCAACAAGAGTGGCTAAAGGTAGCTTATAAGATTATCAGAGGAGGCAGAGAGCCTCTGTTTACCGATCTTGTTGAGTTTGTAAAGGAGCAAGCTGATATAGCTAATACTAGATACGGCCTACTCATCAACCGCGGTAGTAATAGTGACAATAGAGATGTTGGCGTTTTAAAAAGGGAAATTAGTACAGATTACAATGCAGCAAGAATATCTTATGTGAGTGCTAGTGATGATAATGCTCTCTTACGCAGTTCATCTTGTTTGGAGTGCTCCAGTAATCATTCTTTAGATCATTGTCAGAAATTTAAAGACAAGAATGTTAGAGAAAGGAAGGAATTCGTTCTTAGACACAAGTTGTGTAATGTATGCCTGAAGGCAAACCACGTAGCAAAAAACTGTCGATCGCCGAGGTCGTGTGCTGTCGAAGGGTGTGGCTGGAGACACCATACCCTGTTACATGAGTTGCGGGAAGAACCAAGGAATACTAATATTGATGCACACATTAACACCCAGCTATGTACGGAGAAAAGTGTTGAGAGTGTACAGAAACAAGCAGCATTCGCAATAGTGCCTGTACTGGTAAGAAATGGAGAAAAGGTAGCACAGACTTGCGCTTTCTTAGATAGTGGGTCGGATGCCTCGCTTATTACAGAAGATCTAGCTAAAAGGTTGAATTTAGAAGGAGAGCCTAAGACGATTTCGTTGAAAACGTTGGATAACCATTCCACAATTCAGTGTAAAGAGGCTCAACTAGAGGTTTCCTCCTTAGACTCGTCTTCGTCATTTAGAATCCCAAACGTATGGACAGTCGAGAGATTACCTGTGTTGCGCAGGACGGTACCAACGACGTCTCAAATGAAATCCTGGACGCATTTAAAAGACATAAGTTTTCCTAGAGTAGAGGATGAGAATGTCAAACTGTTGATCGGGCGCAACGCACCGAGTGTACACGAAATGAAGGAGATAAGAACTGGAAAGCCGAATGAACCATTCGCCGTGAAGACTCCGTTAGGTTGGACGCTGTTCGGTTCCTATAGGGAACCTTGTAAAAGCAATTGTGCACTCAACCACCTCTCAGCTAAAGAGGAATTAGAGGATTTCGAACTCCCAAGACACGATGATGAGTTCCTAGATCGATTTCGTACGTGCAAGTCGTGGTCCAGACTTCTAAGGGTATTTTCATACTGCAGACGGTTTATCAATAATATGTTAAACAAGAGGAACGGAAATCGTCTAACCTTAGGCGCGCTAAGTGCTGAGGATATCGAAAATTCGAAGAGTGACATAATTAAACTAGTCCAAAGTGTCGCGTACCCGACCGAAAAAAGAATTCTAAACAGCTCACCGTTGACGCTCGGAGAAAACGCTTTTAGACAGCAAAAAGGTCAAGAAGCAATGGGCGAGGTGAACAGGAGAAAAAAATTAATTCGTCGAAGTTCTATAAGAAATCTCAACCCTTTTATGTTTGAAGGCAAAATCCGCGTGGGAGGACGTTTGCAGTTATCATGTTTACCATTTGAAACCAAATATCCGATTATTCTTCCTAATAATCATTTTGTTACAGATATGATTATAATGCGTTATCATGTGATTAACGCACATGTTGGAGTTACTCAAACTCTGAGTAGTATTCGTGAGGAGTATTGGATTGTTAGAGGATATTCTACTGTTCGGAAGGTTCTAAAACGATGCTATTTATGTAGAAGACTTTATCCTAAACCATGTTCCCAGTTAATGGCACCGTTGCCGGAATACCGAGTAGAGACTCATTCGCCACCCTTTAGTCAAGTAGGCGTGGATTACTTCGGACCGTTCTATGCCAAACGTGGTAGAGTTGTCGAGAAACGTTATGGCTGTTTATTCACCTGCTTATCTATTAGAGCCGTTCACATCGAAATGGCCTACTCTTTAGATACGGATTCATTTCTATGCGCATTATCAAGATTTATTGCCAGAAGAGGATGTCCAAAGCGTATTTTTAGTGATAACGTCACAAACTTCCAGGGTGCAGATGTCAGTTTGAGACAGATTATACGCTCCTGGAATACTAATAAAATAAAAAACCATCTTAAAGAACGAGAATGTGAGTGGCGTTTTAACCCACCTAGAGCAAGTCATCGAGGTGGTGTGTGGGAACGCATCATAAGATCAATTAGAAGAATCTTAAGAGTGCTTTTATTCCAAAACGTGTTGACCGATGAAACTCTGCAAACCTTTTTAACTGAGGCGGAACGGATACTGAATGACAGACCTCTGGTTAAGATGACAGATGACCCTGGTACCCTAGAAGCTCTTACCCCGAACAAGTTGTTGTTGATTCATAAAAAACTATCATTCGACGATGCTTCGGTGGATAAGACGTTATTATACAACAAAAGATGGAAAGAAGCTCAAAGACTAACCACTGCATTCTGGAATAGATGGATAAAAGAATATTTACCGACTCTCCAAGCAAGAGACAAATGGTTGGACGTACACAAGAACTTACAACCGGGTGACTTAGTCCTCGTTAGTAACGTCGAAATGAATAGAGGTCTATGGCCTAAGGCTATAGTCGAGCAAGTAAGCTATGGCCCGGACGGACGAGTCCGCACGGCAAAGTTGAGAACTTCAAACGAAGAAATCGTCAGAGATGTGCGAAGCCTATGCCTGCTGGAAGAAGCCGGTTGTCTGACGGCGACGACGGCCCTGGACAATGGACGTGGTGCGCGTTTCGGGGGGAAGTGTAAAATGTGATCGATAAACGAACCCACCAATAATAAAGGGAAACGCCCACCATCACATTAACTCCTTTTGACCTTGTACGACTGTATCTCTTTATTAACCAATCACAGTTTAACGTTCATTGTAAAACAATAATTGCTTGTTGACTCATTTTTTCCTATTCTCTGGCTACTGTTCGGTAGGTTATTTGTCTCTTTTCCCCTGTATTAGTAGACTGTACTGTTCGTTTGCACACTAACGATGTTAATTTATGTTTTAGAAACAGATAAAGTTTATATAGCCAAATAGCTTACTTGTTCTGACTTTGGCCAAACCAAGACTCTGTACTCGACAGTCTAGAGATTAGTTTAGAGTTGGATCTGTGGGAAATTGCTTCCTACAGACAGGATAATTTGAAACCAACTGCATATAAGGACAATAAATAAGACTGTTGTTTGACATTTGCGAATTCTCAATGAAAGGTTTGATTATATATTAGGATGATCAAACCTCGTACGTTCCGCGTATATTTAAACGCGCAATGACCCAGAGTATAGTGAAAGCTACAAGCTGCAAATATCTTTAAAATTATCTGGGGGAAGGAAAATGTAAATAGATCAGCACATATTCACTCGCAAAAATGAGAGTTTTTCTGGTCAGGCTAAATGCTTGACGGTTTAGAATAATAATCTGCTTAATCTAATGCTGTCAGCACCATTCTAGTTCCTACTTCCGGTTTAATTGGAATTAAGTAAACAAAATATAGAAAATATGACCATTTCTAAAGTACCGTTCTAAAGCTATCCAAGAAATGCTTGTACCACATGATGTACCAACTCCACTGGCCTACTTGACACTTACTGATTACCATTAAGAGATGACTACCACTTAATTATTTTCTCGTAAAGAATACTAGGTGGGACTGAATGAAGTAGTGTCAACCAGCTTTGGAGGCCTAAAAGCACCACTGGTATCTAGTCTTCTCTTAACATATTACGATCTGAAGACGTCACTAATCGTTGCAGCAGATGCGTCTACAAACAGGGTAGGGACCGCCATTTTACACGAATTTCCTAATATAGAGGAAAAGGTGGAAATGTACGCATCCAGAACACGAACACCAGAGGGTAAAAGCTATCGGCAAATAGTGAATATTTGCGGAACATCATTCTCACAAGATATACTACAGAAAGCTCACATTATTGACTGACTACAAGACCATGCTAGCAGCCTTTAGCTTCAAATCTGAAGTGCTAGCATTCTGAGGATCGACCAAAGCGATGAGCGATAACACTACTAAGATACGATTACAACACCCAGTAAATGACGGAGAGATTTTTGTCAGCCAGATGTCCTATTTCACCTAAAAGGAGGGTATCTCACTACGAAAGGGGAATCTATTATTGCGACGATCTCTACTACAATGAAAACCTTAACAGTGATGATGAGCGATGATTGTGAAAATTGATGAAGCTTTTCTTCAGTACCCTTTTGCTGCTAATACATCTTCAACCACTAGCTCTAAGTTACTGCATCGCATCTATTAACCACTCGAAATGTTGTTGCCAAAGACCAACAGTTTACGAATATCAACCATAACAGTGCATTGATTTAGTCAGGGTAAAAAGGTGGTCTCGAAGTTCATGAAGTACATTGTGAATCGTCTCATGGTCTGAAGTTGTCATAACTCACCTCTCCACAACACCTTTGGAAAAGGTCACTAAAAAAGAGAAGACCAAAACTCTACAATCTACAGGCTAGCGTTGTAGTGCACAATGTTTGAAGGGACCAAATGTGATGTGGTGATAAAATCAGTAAACATGTCAGCAGATACCACCCCAGTATCTTACAAATACATCACAGACGATGTTAATGATCACCTGGTCAATTGATCTCTCAGCCGTCTGTCAACTGATGTCGAGATGCCGTGTATAAATGGCTCAAATCCACTCAGTCATTGCTTTGTCCACAAGGAAAGACTACCTGTGATTTGAATATTGATAGAGAACCAAGAAACTACCCAACTTATTATTTTCAATATTTAAGAAGAGGTGGACTTCAAATCGAAACTGGTATTATGAGACAGATAATTTTAATTCAAAAAGTGGCGATGCTAGGAAGACCGGGTTATTTAATTCTTGTTAACAAGTGATAGTTTATACAAACAGTGATAACCGCGACGTTTTCTCAGTTTATATCTCTACGATGACATTTGCCGTTAATTGACTAGTTGTTCTTACTTTTAGTTTGCTAACTACACTGTGTCTTAGGGTCAGTATTGGTCTATGTATACAAAAAGTTATCGCATTATCAAACTTATTTCTGAGTTCTTCACTTCATATTGTCTTCTATTGTGTTGCGGACTATCAGTGAAGTTTTGTGTTTCGGTTGTCCGATCAACCGAGTTTATGTTGATCCAGTTTCGTACTGGAAGAATATTCAATTATTCATAATCAGGAATTACAGTAAGGTACAGGAAAACTCAGCATAAACAACAATGAAATACATACACAAACATTTTATAGAACGTCGCCTAAAGTTCACGCTAAACTATGCACAATGGCCAACGCATCTATGGAACCAGATAGAAAGCATTCATATAAGGGATTCTCAATTTGTTTAAAACATTAAGTTCAGATATTTACTGAGCAAACTCTACAAAATTTTAAAATACTAAACTGGCTTGTTTCCTGTGTTGAAATATTCCAGATGTATCAAGACTGTTAACGACCAACTTGAGTTATCAAGATATACACAACGTAGACTTATTCACAAGTCACTATGCAAAATAATGTCAAACACACAGACAGGACGATGACTGTGTCCATAATGAGGTTATGTAGCCAGTCGGTTTATGAAGAGAAACTGTGGAATTTCGAGATATGCAGAACATCACAAACGAAGGAAAAATAGACCACTAATTACCTGGTGTAGACAGAACAGTAACACCAACGATTACAAATTTGAAAAGAACTTACAGGGTCTTTTTTGTGTAATGGACCTGGATTTGTTGTACATATATGTTTATTATAACTTGTAGACATTTTAAAAGTTGGAAAGTCGTTTCTCGTATTGTTTTCTATGTGCTTGAGAGAAGACTTTTCATTTGAAATCTCATTTTTCACTTTAATTACAGGTATTGATGACTGAAATGGATGATAACAAACAGGATTAGCAAATTTATTTACACGAAAAGCGTGGAGATACTACCAAGCAACATTCGAAATTATACACCTCAAAGCAGCATTTACAGATGAATAGATGCCATTATATTTGTTAAGTAAATTTCTTAAGTTTATGTTATAACGCTTCGTTTTACCTCGTCTAATGTTATAACAGTTCGCTTTCCACGTTTACACGTATGGGACGTTAATTTACCGTAAACGATTATCTACACTAGATCCCTTCCAGTGTCTATTCTACAGGACGTCAACATAACTCAGACCAAGAACACGTAATTAGCCTGACCACAACGTAAATATACTTCCACAACGAAAAACGACACAATCCGCAACAATGAATAATCAATAATAAGTGAGTCACAGTAATAAGGATAAGAGAATGTATAACTTATCTGACACCTGTCAGACTATTTACATGTCTGACTAAGCAGACAACCAACCATGATCATTCTCGCCCACACATCAGTTTATGAAGATTTTTTAATTTCAAAAAACATTCCATCAAGGATTAAGAGTAGCAGAAAGATGACTGAAAATCAAGGTGCGTTAGTTATAAGTTGTGTCCTAGTTGGATATAATCTCGTGATGTTTCTAGTGTGTTGGATAACCATATGCTCACTAATAGCTTCTATCGAGAAAAACGTTGAAAGTTCTAGTAAAACATTGCTATACGCAGACAGATAAATAAGCACACGCGTATATGAATGGGTAAAAAGACAAAAAGGCAGACAGGTAGAAGAATAATTGTGGGTATAAACAGCCAGACAGATACACATAAGATTAGTCCCACCGAGTAGAAAGCAACATGATTATGATTCACGTAGCTCAGATCCCTATAACATCCCTTATTTAACAGTCTCAAATTCGTATTGAAAAAATAAGCTTGAAAATCAACATGTTGCGAGGAGAAATTCATGCAGTACTTAAATAAATAATTTTCAAAGAATAACCTAGTAGTTTAAAAGCTTGACGTCTTTTGACCAACTGATACACTGGGACAGTGCCACCCCCAGAAAAACGAAAAAAATATATAGACTTTAACATTAGGGTTTATCATGGTATTTGTATGAATACAATATAATTTTTATCTCTAACTTTGAAATAAGCCTCATCAGCAAGTTTCACTGTATTTATACATTAAAAACATACAAATAGTAAAACCTGACAATAAACGACGAATGGATAACTTACACTATTGAGGAAGCTTATTACTATTGAAAGATCATTTATGTGTAATAAGCCATGATCATCAAGAATAGCCAATAGTGAATGACAATTGAAAGATTTATTCCGTTCCTTTCCCTGGCAATCAGAGAGATCTAAAATACTGTAAGCCGGTAAACTAAATGATGATAAGAGTGGGTCTTCTAATGAGCCACATCCAAATGTAAACAAGCATTTCCAATAGATAGGAGTTGAGTTCTTTGACAGTTGTTGCTTTGGCAAATTTTCTGTGCAAGCTAATGATTTTCTAGAATTTTCGCGGGTTCGTATCAAAAGACGTAAACGTTTATCAGTGCCAAGTAATAGTAGTAGACCAGATAACTAAAGTAAAATTGAAGTTGATGAACAACAAAAGATGCAGTTTTGTCACAAAAAATTCAACCAGCTTCAAGAACTATATAAAATGATATTATTTACTACTAAGTGCTCATGCAGGTCGGTCATAATCTACATAAAATAATGGTAACATCACTAACCGCAACAATAAGTGACGTAGTTTCAAATTTCTTAGAATAAAATTTAGGTCCCTTAAGTTGTAGATATATCATGAATGCCAACCAATCGACTGCTCAATCTATATATATATATATATATATATATATATATATATATATATATATATATATATATATAGGTTTTCAGTTTCCTAAAAAAGGATCACGAATATAAGGTTATATGCCGTTGACATGTCGTTTAGTGTTAACAAGCTTATCTTGGTTTACAATTCTTATCAAAATAACAACGGAATTTGGAATATAAGCAAAAATTTTACAACAATCAAATAACAATTACCTCATCACATATCATAGAATCATGGTAAAATTGGTTAAAATCAATCAAACAAGATTTAGGGATCCATTCAATTCGACGAACTGATTTAATTGGTTCAGGAAGTTTAATTAACTCTCGTAAAAACCGATTATTTGAATTGGAATAATCTACATCTGGACTGTCTTGACTTAAACAGTTTACATATCCTTTTAAATCCCATAAGTAGACAAATGGTGAACGACCAGCTGCAAATAAATAACGACCTTTGCTAGAAAAAAAGTAATAATAAAAGACGAAACACGTAGCTGAATAATTGAAAATTCAAAAAACGAATAAAAATATTGAGATTTAGATTTTAAGATGGTAGTTGTAGGTAGTCAACAGGAAACCCTGAACCTAGGTTTCGCGCTACTTGGCACTCATCAGCAAGGCGTACTTGTAATCTTGGGAGAACTGATACTCCCTGACGGATTCGATCCCGTGCCACCCAGCTTCACAGTCAAGGACGCTACCACTGAGTTATACGGGCCGCGATTGATTACTGGGTGGTGATCGATAGGATTCAATCTGAACTAAGAAAGACCTGACACTGATCGCCACGCAGTGATCAATCAATTGTAACTTTAGATTTTATTAGTTTATCTGAATTAGTAGCTGTTATTATTAGACAGATAACACCTAACCACTGAATCATGTGGCACAAACAACTGAATTTTGTCTCCAGGCTTATGCGAAGTACTCAGTTGACAAACAACAATTGCAACTTCATCTAGTGAGTAATTTATTTGAACACATAAATGTTAGTACAAAGGGTCATCAGATATATATGCGCCACACAATAATAATGAGAATGGGAAGAGATAAAGAATGTAAGGTGCGTACGAGAAAAAAAGGGAACAATAAAGAACAGAAATTAGTGTATGATAGTGAAATAATAATAATGGGAAAGGAGGTTCAGTTAGCAAAGGTACAACCAGAAAGAATTCTTCCAGTTAAAGAGGTTACGTCCATTTTTTATGAAGAAAGTAAAATAAAGTTACAGCAGGATCGCAATTGGCTTCTATTCTGAGCCATATCTGATAATGTCTCTAGCCACTATGTTGCACCATCTCTAGGAATTCAACCAGAGAGTCGTGAAGAACCAACAGAAGCCAGTCCTGCACAGCTTTCTTTCATACCACGATATCATGTCATACACTGACCACCTCTTTACTTTTTTCAACCAGTTCTAGAGTCGCAGCTTACATATCAACTTCGGTTTTAATAATGATCAACTATTACTGAAATGTTAGAAAAAAATAGATGTTGGCTGGATGGGTCACAGACAGATATGAATACAGGTTCAGAAAAAAATCAGCTGTGTGTCTAGTTACATGTTTACTGTGATCATGAATAATTCCCATTTTGTGGCCGTTATTATTATTTATATTTTTATTTGCGCACAATAAAAATACTATGCTTAACTTAAGGATTTTCGATTTCCTTAAGTTAAGATTGCTTGTATTGCAAATAAAAATCTACAAGTTTACTTATCTGAAGGATGGATTTTATTATCTACAATAATTTTCCCGTTACTCTTTAGATGACGGCTCAGATGAAAAATACTCGACACACAACCTTGATAAAGAGAGGTTTTATATATATAAAGCTTAAATTCATATAGACAGCACTATTCAAAACTTCTGTACACTAACAAAATTAGAAATACTCAAACCTGCTAAATGTAATTGTTCTATACAGTTGATTCGGATAATCACTGTTACTAAGCCTTAACAAACACTGAAGAGAATCTGTACTCCAAACATAAATGGATCCATCTTGAAAACAGGATACAATTTGCTCACCACGAGGTGGAATGAAAGTTACCTAAAATGTAAACGAAGCAACAACTATGAAAATTACTTTATAAGAATTTCCGCCTAAATTTGAATGAATAGGTTCACAAAAGTTGGGTGCCGAGTTAGTGTAGTATTACCTTTAAAACGTCGGGACTAGACTGACAAGCGAAAAGTTGGATTTACTTTTACACATATAATTTTCCCCTTCAATGTATAAAAATGACTGTTTGTTATTAATAGCATAGTGTTAGCTTCAGTTCATTTATGCAATTTTGGAAACATAAAATCCATCAATGGACGCTCACACTTTTTCACAGACTAATGGTACACCTTGAGTTAGTTCAATGAAGAAATACTATGTAATTTTGGGCAGAACAATATATATCTGACTAAAAATTAAAAATATTGGTGGACAATAAAATCAAACCAAACCATCTATTTCATGGATTTTACGATACTAAGACCATGACACATGGTAAAGTGTACTTATAAACAGCGTAAAACTGCTATTTGGTTTCGAATAAAATGCGATCATACAAAAAAGTGAATTTTACTCACTTTTTCTAATGGCTGGACATAAGATGACGACCAATGTATCTACAGGACATAACTTTTATAAAGAACCTGAATGTACAACTATAAAACTATAACAATCCCGTTCATTTCTAACATTATAATGGGAACGTCGGAGAAATCGACTTTTTATGTGAAGCATAAAATCGAGAGTTTGTTTAAAAATTAAGACCATTTCAAGATATACGGAGAGAACATATATATAAATGGGAATCGGAAGTCCTGAAAAATTCAGTTATAGATATTAAAAATTATAATTTAGCAACTCCACTACAATTAAATAATCTGGACGTTTGGAAATAACAAGACAAGTCTATCGATTACAACATAACTTTTGAAATAGTGAAATAAACTCACTGATACCATGTTCACTTTTTGGCCAATATGTAACCTGCAACGACATGTGCTAGTGTCGAGATCCCATAATATTGTTTCACTTAGGGCAGTAGATAATCCATAACGACCAGAAACTGGTTGAACTGATATATAAGAGATTCTGTACGTGTGACCACTCAAAGAACTAATCTCTTTTCCGGACTCTAAAGATAAAATATAATGGTAATAAATGGACAGACTTCGCTTTTCGCTTCACTGGTGTTCAAAGTAACAATATCTGGTCTCTGTCGGTACACGAGTTCATCGATATTACTTTCTTTTTATATACTGATTAAATATTCTGATAGTGGTTAGAAGCCAAATTCAAGACACAAGTTTTATTTTACTGAAGGTTAGTCAGCTGATTGTAAAAACGTAGTACCAACCAGTGTACACTCCATAGCCTTGTCCAAAAAGCTACTGAGATAAGATATCTAACACGTTTTAGCTAATGCGATACACTATTTTTGCTCAAATCGTTTAGACAATACTGCTACGCGTATTCAGTACTGAACTGATCGAACTACACCGGAATATGGGTTCTTTGAAGGCATGTCACGATATTATGCAACTTTAATTCGAAAATATATCATTCCTGAAGGATATATTTATACTTAATATTGAAAGCTGCACAATTTTACACTTTATATAATGAGGAATAGTAAAGCTTAACGGAATCATGTGCACAAAACATAACACAAAGTTGTGAAACTCAGATAGTTAGGACTTGACAAAAAAAATTTGAATTGTTTGTAATGATTAACCACCAAGTCATATCATTTTCAGTCGAAATTATGACTATTTTCTGGGGCATAGATTGATTGTTTTTGGATAATATGGGAATATAGGACAACGGTACTACACTTCTGAATGAGCAAATATCGTACGTTGATATGATTTTCATCCAAAAAATATCCTGATATTGAAGAGAAACAAAGCAACAAGTTAGCAACACATCTTCCACAGGAAAACCAGAAAATGGCGAAAATGTTACCCTCGTCTAAGATTCTGATGCTGTTATCATTCAAACCCAGAAGGACATATCCACGTGGTTCGCATAAACATATATATGTAATACCACGATTCAACGAAGCTATTAATTGATACCTAAAAATATTTGCTGTCAAACGGGTACGATGAATGAGGCTTACCAGTTCTTCGCAAAGTCCAAGCAGTATAAATCACCTGAATTTAATGCAAAGTATAATTTATAGCCGCCCGGAGAAAAATGATAAGCAGATATCTGATTTGATATTGTGGATCTACCGTTACCAGTTGAATCGGATTTCGAAGAGCATATTGAAAGAATTTCACTAAAACATGCGAAATAAAAAGAGGTATTATCCTGCATGAAATTAGCGAAATAAAGCAAAGTCTGTAGATGAAATGACTTTTTATAAGTTTATATAACAAAACCTAACAAGAAAACAACAGTGCGCATTAAAATTTATAAGTTATATATTCCTATGAAACTTATTTAATGATACAACTGGAATACAGATTCCTGCAACGCCACTGAAATATCGATATATACTGATTATGCATTTTATGATATATAGGCTACAAGCTGATTCAGTAAATACCTACTAGAGTCGAAAAAACAAAACAGTGTGAACGACAAAATATAAATTCAATCGACTAAAACGTCCAACTACTTTATTTGTACTAACCAAGATACTCATGCAATCACTAGTGAAAATACTGTATCTCATCCGTTATCAAAACTATCAAATGACGAATAGCAGGAATAAATATCTTCAGCAAAAAAGGGTCAATAATGAGCAACTAATGAAACCCCCATTGTTCCCACTGTGTTATTCCTATATACATATGAGCTTTGGATAACGCATTTTCGTTTATTCAAAGGAAAACTACTGAGACACTAGATATACGAAACCACCCAGTAACTCGACGAGTGACGTTAGATAGTGTAGGAATTGGTTGGGTGAGAGTTACGGGCATCCATTTACACGGTATCAGTCAATAAGTTAGTCATAGTAACACAGAACATATCCGCCCTTACAACTCATCACGCTATGTCATCGCAGAGATAAAATTACTAGAACAAGTACTCGAGCAAAAACAACAGTTGGACGAAAAGGCTAATGAAATTGTAGTATCCTATAACTAGGGGAAATAAAACTAGCACAAATGATATGCAGTTATATACGTCGAGGACATTAATGTAAAACTCTGATCGATATCTGACCCAATGTTTCAGTAACTAAAGCAATCCTCTGCTGATGACAAGCAGTTAACTAGTGTTACTTTTTACCAGATTCTATTTGATATGACAATTATCGAATTTCATACGAAATCGAGACCTATTAAAAAAAAAACAGACGCCTAGAAGTTTTGGATAGAAAGAGTTTTTCGAATTTGAATTCAGGTTGATAACTTACCCTCTTGGATTATTTGCAGGATTGTTCCTAAACAAAACCCCACTTTTCTCTCGTAGAATGAACAGACCGCGCATTTAGGCTTGTTTGAATACCCACGCGTTGAAAGCGTACACACAAAAAGTGTGAAAAAACAAGATAAAACAATCGATATTATTAGTGAATTTGGTTTCTTATTCTCTGAAGGAAGGCGTCACACTAAGTCACGAAACGTCAGAAAATCGAATTTTCTACTCATTGGGATACTACAAATATAGTATTTATTTAAATCGGTCAAGGTCAACATTGAACCATTAACATGAAAACAAAACTTCTGTATAAAAATCCATTTTTCGATATTTTATTTGAATAATCAAAGTTTTGCTCAAATTCACTAGAATTTAAATGGTTCAAATGGTTCATATCGTTCTGGACGGAATAGAAGCTTTCGCTTAACTGGATTCTATATTTAGCAAAAGTGGATCACCGGTGCCTCCGGACAAGAACTCAGGTATATTAACGATAAAAGGAGAATAAAAGGGAATTAGTAAATTCTAGTTAGATGCTGTTCTTAGTCCTTAAGAATATGTCACGTTTTCTCTTAATGGACTCCTGGGAAGTCTCTTGAACTAGACCAACTGGCGGCGAATTCCAACATTTGACCGCTCTCAAGGGGTAGAAGGTGAGCATCCATTCCTTTCTTCTGTATTGTGATTCTAGTTCTTGGATGTTACCCCTAGGGTTCATATTTAGACTGGGCTTATGTTGGCGTTTGAGGGGATGCACAGAAGTGTTTAGGATGCTTTAGGCCTTTAGAAAGTCGACTTTAAGACGCCTGTACTCTAATGGGTAAGGGTTCAGTATTTGAAGAAGCTCTTCATAAGACTTGAATTTAAGTCGCCAAACGGATTTTGTGGCTCGCCGTTGGTTACGTTCCAGAATGTCTTCATCCTTTTGGATTGAGAGATGGACTGCTATGTTTCCGTACTCTAAATGGGTATGAATAAAACTGTTGAAGATTATGTGAAACGTTCTTCCGTTGAACTGGCCAAAAATGCTCTTCAACGTTTCACATTTAGCGTAGGACTTCAAACTTTAGATGTTGAACTGAACATCTTTCAAAGGTTAACAAAATTTTTCCCAATCCATTTTAAGAAGTTTCTGGCACATGGTTAATATGCACATAGAAATAGGAAAACCTCTTGCATAAACTGTGTAGCCCGAAGATAAACTGAGAAACTCAGACATGTGTCTGTTGAAAAACCACTCAAAGTTCATCAGTGATATTAAGACGTGTAAACTGCATATTATATTATCCCACATTGTGAACCATCTAGGAAGGACGTAAGCCACTAGAAAGCCAGAGTTTTTAGTTCTTACAGAATACGGGAATTCATAATTTTCGTAACTCCACAAATAAATGACCGTTCACTGACATATGATATAGTGGAAGACGTTTGAAGTTTATAGATATGTATCTATACTGTTAGTTGATGAAGATTTGTGTCAGCAAATGTAGGAAGCAATTTCCTACAGATTCAACTCTAAGCTAATCCCTAGACTGTCGAATACAGAGTCTTGGTTCAGCCAAAGTAAGAACAAGTAAGCAATTTGGCTGGATAAACGTTATCTGTTTCTAAAACCCAAATTAGCACTGTTAGTGTACAAAACAAAAGTACAGTCTATAAACACAGGGAAAAACGGAGACATAAACAACGTACCGAACAGTAAATAGAGAGTAGGACAAATGAGTCATAATAAACACCGAACTGTGATTGGCGAATAAATAGGACACAGTCATACAGAGTCAGGAAAAGTTAGTGTAGTGGTGGGCGTTTCACTTCACTATTGGTGGGTTCGTTTGTCGATCACATTTTACAGCAAATCTGTGAGTAAGAAGAAGCATTCGGGCATTTGCAATTAACCGTCACTCGATGGTCATATAAAAATTATTAAACAACAGAGTTTGTCAGAGGCGGTTTTGTTGATATTATAGTAACTTTAATAGTTGAGATCATGGGTCGATTGAAGCTAGACCGCCATAGAAAACCTGAAAGCACCAACTATACTTCGTTGTACGTTTCTACCATTCTATACTAAGTCATTAACGGATGTTTTGGGTGTTCAAATTATATTTGGTTACATTCTTATTCGCTGATGCGTCTGCAACTCTTCTAGTCTACTCTGTTACATCCCGTCGTACAGTTTACATTGCTTCACACTTCGTTGTACGTCTCGACTAATTCATATATAGTTCATAATAAGTGTCCCTTACATTCAAAGTATGTATTAATTTTATTTTTGCTATACTTAAGCTAAAGTGTTTTGTTTATAGTTTACACTATTTCATAACATTTTGTGTTTATATTGAGTTTTCCAAAATATTGTCACCTACCTGTCATGTGGACTTTGTTTCTATTTATCTAAAAAGTTATAGATTTGCGTACTATATGTGTGGGAGGTTTACCTGACGTTGGACGACTCGTTTTAATTGGGAATTATCCGTATAATTGTGATTTTTGGCTCAAACATTTTCGCACGAAGGAATCTTTCCAATACTGAATTATCGTCATACGACGATATGTTGGGCAAAGAATTCCAGTTTACATTCAAGATGGAAAGATTACAGATAAAGTATTTACTATGATAATAGGATACAGTGGGTAGGGAGACAGGGGGGCTAACTTTCGTACATAGCAACATGAATGTCATTAGTACTGCTACAAATAATATATAGAACGTACAAGCCATTTTTGGGAGCATGGTCAGTAATTTGTAACACGGACTGACAGATGAGATGCTGTTAAAGTTAGTAAAAAGAGAAAGTCAGCGAAAATCTATGCTAGAATACTCATATGAATGTGCTAACAACTTGATAAGCGAGTTTTTATGTTGGTACTGTATTATAATCTAAGGCACTGAGTAAGAATTTGAAAGTAAATAGTTGGACAGTACCACATATGGTAAAAAGATGACAACTGATAAGAAATAAATAAGAAGTGACCCACGTAGACATGCCTGATAATAGTTCAAACGGACAGTTTTTTGAGTGTTTCTGATTTTCTACCCGAATAGTCTCTAGTTACATTAAGTTTGATTGAGTTGTTGTGCAAGATATTAATAAAGCCTGCAATTTGCTACATCATCCATGGTAAGACATCATGTTGTGAGAATCGAAAGAAAACTCAAGAGAAATGCTTATTCAAAAGTCATAAAGAAGGAGAACGATGTGTATAGCATAAGAAAAATGAATAGGGCACAGTTTGTTTACCGCGAATTGTGGACTACGGATTGCCGAAACCATTAAACGGTTAAATATTTATGTTTAGTTGTGTTTGGCAAGTCGTTTCTCCACATTGCTATATTCAGGCTACTATTCATGGTTGAATATCGTTCTCATGTAGTACGCCGCGTAATCATTTGCATATTTAACCATAACTTGATGGAGTCAGACTATCTAGCAACTGGAAAACAGACCTAATAAGGGATTCACACTAATTAGCGAATGATTTTATTTGCCACAGAATTTAAGCATCAAAACCATGACCATCATTGGACGGATATGTTCAACCACTGACATTGGTAATAATCCCACAAACGTTCGTGAATTATCCTGCGAAACAACACACTACAAAATGTTGTGTAACACCTATTAATCAGTTTATTTTCCAGGTCAAAAGTCCTATTACGCTGAAACAGTAAATGCTCAGTTCAGCATTATCGTCAGCAATTTTCAATGATTCTTTTTGACATAATTTACTGCAATGGGCTCTCACTTTGACATGTGTATGATGCTGTATGTTGCGATTTACTATACAGACGTACACACTGGCAATTCAAGAATTGGATCACCACTTTAGTGTTTATCCTCTGTATCAACACAATATACAATGAATCTCTTAAACTTTATCAAGATATGGCATACCATATGGCCGTAATAGGTCGTTTACATGAATGGCCGCTATTCATCATTGCGTTACAAACACTATTCATTTCATATACTATATCTATGTTCATCGTTTTTATCCAGAGCATAATTTTAATGGGTGGCATTTTAAAGAAACTCAAAAGGATAGGGAAGTTGTTAATAATAATAATAATATATATTTCTGCACGTGCAGGTACATGCCATTTTTAAAGGCCTGGTCTACAAATTACAACATTTGTTGGTGCACAGCACGCTCTCCAACTTATTAAGTTTATAGTTGTTATAAAGTAGACTCGTAGAACGATCGTTGTAAACCATGAACCTGAGAAGATGAGTACGTCAAGTTTGTTCCAGACGTCAGAAGTTCAATAGCTGTGCCCTAAGAGCAAGATTCTGAAGAAGAAAAGAAAGAGAAACAGAAGAGCGGCAAGGCACTTGGATATGAACGCAAGACACTGATTAACATTTTGTAGTAGAACAGATAGAGGTATAATAAATTAGATAAAATTCATATTATCTCCTGTTAGAGTGAAATGAAGTCAGAGACTCCATATAAGAGAATGTAGTAATAAGGGACAATGATTTGTGGTGTTTAACAAGTTGGAGCAAGCACACATGAAGGGGGGAATTCAAAATTGATACAAGAAAAATGGTTTATTAGAAGGGAGTGTGTATATAGAGGGTGAAGTGTTAAGAATACTAATAACTATACATTTTATTGTCTAATTTTTCCTTTCTTTTCTCTTTTGTCCATCCAATGCCAACCACACAATCCTAGTGTAAAAGTCCAAGTTGGCATGTTATAGGTTGCCTTAGTAGAACAGGTAATCCAGCATAAAACTGGAAACATGAATCTGAGTGGTGAGTGTAGGAAGACAATCTATATCACAAATTGATTGACTTATTCTCAATCATGAAGAGCCTGATACGTACAAAATGTTCTGTCCCACAAACACTGGTGGACAGAAGTCATCTCCCTCACCATCAATGCTTGCTGATCGGTAACTCCACCCCTCCTTTTGTGGTGTTGGGCTCATTTAAGCTTATTTTTGGATATATGTCATACCTCACACAATCCTCTGCGTTTCACATCCTATCCGGCGCTTTGACCGGATCCGAAACAAATGGTGCACATGGGCTCCAGTATCCTGAAGGAACAAATGGCGTATGAACCAATCGTTGGTCACCGGTTACCATGAGACTG